TCATCGGTTATGCTTACTCCGGGATTTGCTGTGCCTGTACCTGCTAGAGTATCCCACCCGGTACCAGCAGGCTATATTGGCTTATTGCTCCCAATCATGAGCCCGGATCATTGGCATACGGTTCCAGGATTATATGAGTCGTCTGGTTCAACAGCCATTGTGCTGTATCTCTGGTCCACTATGCATATGGAAGTTCTGGCAGAATCACTTGTAGCTCGTATGCTCTTAATACCATTGTCAAGCAAAAGGGACTCTCAGCAGTCTTGCCAGACTATGCCAAGTAATTTGCAAACTACACCCATTGCTATGGCTACTATCCGATTGACAGCAGACAAGCCTTATTTATCTGTCACCATGGCAGGACGCTGTATAAAAGGGATGCTGGATTCAGGGGCTGATGTGACTGTTATAGCAAAAAAGGACTGGCCTGAAAAGTTCCCTACTGTCTCTGCATCTCCTGTTTATGGAGTGGGAGGCTTTACAGCTGCTTCCCGAAGTGTACAGCAAATTACCTTCCAATCTGAAGGCCGCATTGTGACTCTACGACCTTTAATAATGGACATCCCATTTACCTTATGGGGCAGAGATTTACTTTCGTCCTTAGGAGCTACCATCAGTACAAATTTATTCTAAGGGCCTCCCCGTCAGCGCCACTCCATGCATTGCCCATCAAATGGAAAACAACTGCGCCAGTATGGGTAGACCAGTGGCCGCTGCCTTTACAAAAGCTCCAGGCGGTGGAGGCCCTTATTCAGGAGCAACTTCAGTTGGGTCATATTCAGCCTAGTTCCAGCCCATGGAATACACCAATATTTGTGATAAAAAAGAAATCTGGAAAATGGCGTTTACTACAAGACTTAAGGAAAGTGAATGAATGTATGCAAGTGATGGGACCTGTTCAATGTGGGATGCCAAATCCAAACTTGATCCCACAAAATTATAAACTGAAAATTATTGACTTGAAAGACTGTTTTTTTAATATATTACTAGCTCCTCAAGATCGGGAAACATTTGCATTTACAGTTCCAGTGTTGAACAACGATCGCCCTACACAAAGATATGAGTGGTGTGTTTTGCCTCAAGGAATGGCAAATTCTCCCACCCTCTGCCAGCTATTTGTTGCTCTGGCCCTGCAACCATTTCGATCAGCGTTTCCAGACTTAATGGTGTATCATTACATGGATGATATCTTAATAGCAGGGAAAAATGTTGATAAATGTCATCTGGACTTTCTCGTTGCTTCGTTGGAAGCATATGGACTTTATGTAGCACCAGAAAAGGTCCAAGAAGTCCCTCCTTTCAAATACTTGGGACACCAGCTCTCGGAAAAAGCCTCAGTGCCAGTGTTGCCACAGTTTCATATTCCAGAAACATTGACTCTGGTACAGCTCCAAAGTTTGCTGGGAAATATTAACTGGGCTAGGCCATCTTTAGCCCTTACTACTGATGACCTTTCACCACTGTTTTTGGCCCTGGCAGGTCATTCATCTCCAGCAGATAAAATCCCTGTCACTCCAGAGATGAAAGCTGCATTTAAACTACTTGCTCAAAGGCTTCGTGTTCGGGCAGTTGATCGGCTGCCAGAAGAAGATTCACAGCTGTCTTGTTTTATGTTGTCAACATCATTATTACCAACAGCCATTCTTTACGTGCCCAAAGATAAAGAGGCAATCTGCATAATAGAATTGATATATTTGCCACATACACCACCACGGAATTTATAGCCTTGGATAATGGCCCTCTTTGGATTCCTGCGCGATGCGTCTGCCCATGGAGGTCTTCGTCCGGCTGTCTGTGATTCTTCTTTCTGTCGCCATTGCCCGGGCGGGATGGCATAACAACGTTTTTCACCAACTGGTCCATGAAATCTCATTGTCTTTTAATCAATCCGAATGTTGGGTTTGTTCCCGTGGCCCATCTTCCGCCCTTCAGGGATGGCCGGTGGTGCCCACTGCTATGCTGAACATTACGGGCTACGCTGCCTTTAGAGTGCGCAAGTCTCACTGTACTGAACGGAGCCGGTGTTGATTTCTCGATGCCTCTCAGTTCATCCTTACCAGAAAATCCTCCTGGCCTACTGTGAGTCTTTGCTTTCGCTGGCACGATTCTACTCCTTCAGGGTACTTTACCTATACGGACACTAGTAACAAACAAGTCCGGGTGCCGATACCCCATGCCGCAGTGGGGGATTATCCTTTTTGTAAATTCACTCTTGATCTTTGTGATGACTGTGTTAGCGGAAACCCCTGCAGTACCTCCATTAATAATGCCTCGCTTGGCCTTTCCATTGCTCGACAGCACGAATGCCTAGCCACTTTGAATGGGTCCATGAGCGGTCAGTCAATCTTCGTCGCTCTCACGGAGCAGGCTTTTATGCACGGTGGAACCTACATCCATGGCCTGCCTGATGGGTATCTTTGGGCGTGCAGTGAATGGGCTGGCTCGGTTCTACCGGCGGTATGGAATGGCACCTGCACTGTTGCTACGGTGGCACCTGCAGGTCTGGCGTTTCATCCTAAGGACCAGCCCCCTGCTGCATGGGACCCTCAATTCAGTTGGTCTCGTTCTAAACGCACCTATAACAAAAAGTTGGGATATGACCCTGATGCTACTTATTTTACAACAGGGGAACGCCTCGTAGCTATTGCTTTTCCCCTTTATGGGGTGGATCGCAATGTACATCAGCTCCGTATTCTTTCCTATAATTTAGAGGTCCTGACCAATGTCACCGCAGTGGGCTTGAAGACCCTCCAGGTCGAGGTTGAGTCCCTCGCGGGACAGCTTGCCCAACATAAATTGGCCTTAGATTATCTCCTTAGCAAGGAGGGTGGCCTCTGTTTTTGGTTGAACACTACCTGCTGTCATTTTATTAATAGTTCTGGTGTCATAGAGACAGACATAGCTAAACTGCATGAGATTGCCCGCCAGGTTCGCAAAACGTACTCTACCCCTGGTATGTCATGGTGGGCCTGGCTCTGGTCTTGGTTGCCTAATCTTTCCTGGCTTCGGTCACTAATCATGTATGTTATTATTACTATCGTGATTTTAACTATGTTCTGCTGCTGTATTCAATGTATACCTTCTCTTGTGGATGTACTCAAGCGTTGCATTACTCATGCGCCTTCCCCAACTGTTAATCTTACGGCCAAGCAGCTGTATCAGATCAAATATCACGTCTTGAACTCGCGTGATGAAGAAGATCATGATCCTCTGCTTCCTCCTTATGAGGATGTGGGATACCCCCCGCTTGTTCGTAGAGGTTCTCTGGAATCATCTCTTCCTGACATATACAATTGGCAAAAATTGACTTCGCCAGTGCAGAAGTGATTGTCCATTTAAATAAACAAAACGGAGGAGATGTGGGAGTACATCGCTGTATTGCTACGCACAGTCACTAGGTCACGCTGTAGTTACGCACAATCACTAGGTTACGCTGTTGTTCGCACAGCCAATAGTATTGCATTTACCTGTGTAACCATATAAGGCTTGTAACCTAAGCACTAGGGTGTTGGTCGCTTATACTCGACGGTCAATTGGCCATAGGTAGATACCCATGTAAAACTACCAAGGTAATAAAAGGAGCTGCCGGGAGTGAAAGTAAATAGATTCCTTTGTTCCCTCGAGATCTCAACCCAGCATGCTCCGAAGCTGAACTTCTGTCTGTAGTGTCTTTCTTTCACTCTAAAAACTTTCTCGCGCCGCTTGTCGAGGTTGACTGGCTGGCCAGCCAACCCGCTGCATTTCCCCTTCCATTATTTTATTAAACATCATTTTCATTTTAGGGACTAGTAGTTTTTTTTAAAAAAATTATAATATGCAACACCCAATTCATCAAATCCTGATATTTTATCTATTTTTAATTTATTAATAACTTTCAATATCTCTTCTTCTTCTATTAGAGTTTCCATAATTTCTTTATCCTCTTCTCGAATTTTGCAATTCAGATTCTTTTCTATATATATCTGACTTTCCTTCAAAATGATTGCATTTCCCATATATAACTTTTCAAAAAACCTCTGAAAGATTAAAAGTTTCTCTTTCATCTTATTACATCTTTCTCCTTTTTTGTTCTTAATTACTCCAATTAAGCATTTTGCCTTTTTAACGTGTGTGGCTCTGGCCAGCATTTTGGAATTTTTATTACTACTCTCATAAAATTCTCTTTTCAAATAAATTAAATTGCTTTGAACTGGTTATATTTCAGTATTTTGTAATTCTTTTCTTTTAGCTCTTAATTCTAACATAATTTTGTTTTCTCCACTTTTTATATACTTTTTCTCTCTTTTATTTCCTCTTCTAACCTTGTTATATGTTGTTCTTTTTGTTTTTTATATTATATGAATATTTTATTCCTAACCCTTTTACCACTGCTTTCATTGTATCCCATATTACACTTATATTACTATCTCCTTTTTCATTTATTTCCCATATTTCTTTTCTTTTCCATTGTTTTTAAGATCTCATTTTTAAAAATCCTTAAATCTATTCTCCACCTGTTTACCTGTTTATAATCACAATCTATTTCCATTGTTATCATTGCATGGTCTCATATTTTAATTACTTTTATATCTGCATTTAGACAGTATGCAGATATTTAGACAATCTTAGACAATATTTCTGGTGTTACAAATATATAATCTATTCTTTTAAACTTTTGTGTCTATTTGAATAAAATGTATAGCTTTTCTGATTACCATTTATGTTCTTTCCAAACATTCAATGTTCTTTCCAAACATTGTTTAGTCTGTTTTTATTAATAAATCTACTTAAATATGTATTATTATATTTTACATCTACCTTTGATGGGTTGGATTTATCTTTTTATCCATAACCATATTATAATCGCCCACAATTATCACATATCTTCTTTTTATTTCCTCTATTTCTTGATACACCTTATTACAAAACTCTCTTTGAGTTATATTAGGTGTGTATAAATTAGGTAAAGTCACATCTTGTCCATAAATCAAACCTTGTATTTTAAGAAATCTCCCCATATAGTCTTTTTATAGCTTTTATTTTAAATTTGCATCTTTTAGCTACAATAATTGCAACCCCTCTTGCTTTTGATGTACCATATGATTCTTCATATACATCTGCCCAGTGTCATTTTAATTCATTCACTCCATCATTTATATATTCTCCCAAGCTGTTTAAATTCCAAGTCAACATCTTCAATGTTTTTCTTCCATTTTTTCAATACATCAAGTATTCTTTTCTCCATATGTGACTAAATAAACACTCCAACAAAAACTTAACAAAAACACAATTTTACTCACATCTGCCTCTACCAAAATCCTCCCCCACCCCACATTCATATATATAAACCCACCTACCCATCCTCTGGAGATTTCCTCCTACCCGCCACTTTAGGCTTCTTGGGGTGGGGGGAAGAGGAGCCATCCTTATACAAACCCAAGGCACTCACTCTACCCTACCCAACCATCTATACTCATTTTATTCTATACTCAAATTTCTATCATAATTCAATACTTATTATTTAAAAAGCATTCAATAACGACCACAACACTACCAACTACAATATATTTTCTGTATCTATTACATGAAGATTTTCTTGTCTCTTCTTACTACCTTCTTCTGTCTCTCCTCTTCTCTCTGTTCCTGTGGAGAGCCTGAACTTCCTGCTGCTTTATCCAACTTCTTCTTCTCCGACCGATCTTCTTTCTTCTCTGACATCCTTGAGAATGTAGGCATATCCATTAATTTCTGCATTTGTGCTGCATATTCATCATCATCAATAATTCCAAGTTCCTTTAGCAACTTCAGCACTTTCTCCTTTGTATCAACTCTGTAATATTTTCCATTATATGAAAACCTCAAAAAAACAAAAAACGGGAAGCCCCAGCTGTATTTAATGGAATTTTATTTCAATATTTGGCAGACTTGGAACTTATCTCTCCTCCATTGCAAAGTCTCATTACATAAATTAGGAAAAACTTGAAACTAGTATCCTTTGAACATAATTAATGTCATATCATGTAATTTCTGCATGAATTGTTCTTTTTTGCATATGACCAGAATCGGACCACAATGTCTCTCAGCATTTTTCTTCCAGCTCTTCTTTGGCCAACTGTATGTATTGCATCAATATCATATCTTGTGAAAGAGACATCTGGAAGAACAGATTTAACTCAGTCCAATATCAACTGAATCAATTTATCTTCATTCTCTTTCCCATCCTCTGGATATCCTTGAAGATGTAAATTTGATCTATTTGTCTCCCCTTCCTCTTGTTATTTACAGCACCGGCACCTTTCAACTGGTGAAAAAGTTTGAGGACCCCTGTCTAACACCCTGGTCCCAGAGCCCTGATCCTCTCCCCACACTTATCCAGTGTGGACAAGTTTCTGGGGGGCCTAAATCCCTCCCCCAGTTCAGTTTAAAGTCTTCTGGACAAAGCTCACTAGAGCATTTCTGAAGGACCTTTTCCCCATCCTCTTGAGGTGCAACCCTTCCCTTGCCAGAAGTCCATTGGCAAGAAACTGGGTGCCCTGGTCGAGAACACATTTACCTCAGAGACCCTCCTTTCCCTGCCTTGCCCTAATCCCCAGACTGGTAAGATAGAAGAGAAGGCCACTTAAGCATTTAGGTCCTTGAGTTTCTTCCCCAAGGCCTCAAAGTCCCTGGTGATCCCAACCACATCCTGCCTGGCTATGTCATTTGTCCCCACGTGGATCACCAGAAGCAGCTGGTGACCCCCAGAGCGAACAAGACAGTCCACTCTATCCTTCACATGCTGGATGTGTGCCCCTGGCAGGCAACAGACCTCCTTCGCCTCAAGGTCAGGGTGGCACACCCCTCAGCAGGGAGTTCCCAACAATGATCGCCTGCTACCCTCTCTTCCTGGTGCTGGTAGGCGGCTGGGCCCTGGCCCTCACCTCTCCTGTGGCAGCCTCCTGGTCGCATGTGGTCCCAGGCTGGGGGTCCTGCTGGTCCCCCAAGGCCTCATCAGCTCCAGCCTCCCCAAGTGGAGAGAACCTGTTTCCCAGCTCAACTGGCGCCAGGAGGAGGAGGCCATCCTGGCCTCCTCCTCCTGTGGGTGACATGCCTCCATGTCTCCCCAGCTGTTCCTCTTGTGGCCCCTCCTTAACCCTCTCTCTGGAGGGGGACTGCTCCCAAGGGGCCTGGAGAGCTCTCTTGGCCCTCAGACACCTCACCTCCTCCTCTAGGAGCATCACAAGCTTGTACCAAGGGCAAATATATCCCTGCCTTTCCTGAGAGAGAAAGAAAAAAATATCACAGCTGTCACAGCAGACAGCAACACCTGTAATTCCCTCCAAGGCCATCTCCTGGCCTGACATTGGGAACGCCTCAGAGACTCTAGCTTGTTCCCCCACCTTGTCTGTCCTACACTACTCCTCACTTGCCCAGTTCCTTCAGACAAACCCCCCTCCCACACACAAGGACAACATAATAATTTAATTAAACAAAGAATAAAAAATATATAAAAATAAAAACCTCCCCCCAAGGAAGGGAGTCCCCAAGCAGTCCGGGCTGCAGCTAAGGGACACAGATAAGGGACGACACTTTTTAAGCCTCTCAGGCCAATGGCCCCACCCCTCTGCTTTCTCCTGCCCTCTCTGGCCCCATTTCCCTTCCTCTCCGCTGCTCCTGTCTCCCCCCCCCCATCCCCCGCCGGCTCCTCTGCCCAGCTACCTTGCCTTCGCCAGTCCCCTGGCCACCTCAGCACACTCTCCAAGCCTCTGCCTCTGTTGCTCCGCTGCTCTACCAAGAGGCCAGAGCCAAAACTCTGAGAGAAGGGGAAATGAGGTGGAAACTCCCTGAAAAAGGGTGATAGGACAGAAGACCTAGAAGACTGTCATAACCAGTGGAACTCTCAAATCACTTTAAGTTACTTGAAGAGTGGGAAACCCACTGTAAAGGAACTACATGACACACTGAGTAACTCTGAGAGACAAAAAGTCAGTCATGTAAAAAAAAGATAAAGTTTGCAACAACAAACGGAGAAGAGTGACAGTTTCCCTGTTATGCAAGATGGAAAAACACATATGACAAGAAGAACCTTGGAATCATCAAGTGTGCTGTCTCCCTAGAACCAAGATCAATGAGGTAACTAACAGACTACTAATGTTCATCCAGCCTACTGATACACACCTACTGACATACATCCATTCCTTCTCATTCATTAGGAACTAACAACACTGCCAACAGGAGCTTTGAGGAAATTACGTCAGATTTCAGGAAAAGCTTCCTCACTGTCAGAGCAATACGGCAGTGCAACCAGCTGCCTAGAGAGGTGGTGGGCTCTTCCACACTAGAGACATTCAAAATGAAACTGGACAGCCATCTGAGTGGGATGGTGTAAACTGGTGTCCTGCAACAACAGGTGGTTGAACCTGATGGCCTTCTTGGCTCATTCCAAATCTATTATTCTATGATTCAATTACTTTGAAACCCTAGGGTAGAAAACCATAGATCTTAATCCTTCCAGTTCAAGGAAGAAGAAAAGACAGGGGAGGAAATATTCCATGTGAATTCCTGGCTATGATGGTGGTGCAGTCCTGAGAGATTTGGATTCTGGAACCATGAGCTAAGCTTCCTGGAAGACAGATTTCTGACATGCAATGGATTGCACCTTAAAAAGAAGGGAAAGGATGTACTTGGCAACAGTATGAAGAAATTTATCAGGAGGGCGTTAACTGAATTCTACAGGAGAGGGAGACATACATCTGGGTACAACATCAACCTACAAAGGATTATGTACTACAATATTGAAAATAACTCTGGTTGGGCCTAACACTAGTCTCCCAAAAAAATGTAGGAAGGAAGCCATGGTATAATTCATGTGGCCTTTTGTGTCTATATAGTAATGCCTAGAATATGGAAAACAAACAACATGAACTTAACCTCTTAATACACGAGGGCATAAATATAATCTGATAGGTATAACTGAAATTTAGTGAGATGACTCCAATGGCTAGAGTTCAAAAAACGATATATCTTGTTCAAGAAAAACAGAAGGAACAGGGAGGTGGAGTAGCACTATATGTTAAAGATATCTATTACTGCAAAGAAATACAGGAAGATGGAGCAAGGACAAAAAGGAGCATAGTATTTGGAGTCTATTACTGACCACCCAGTCAAGGGTTAGGGTTCAGGAGTCAAGGAGAAGATAAGGATGAAACTTTTGAAAAAATCACCAGGATTTCAAGGAGGCATGATGTCGCCATAACGGGACTTCAATTTCCCTGATATCTGTTGGGACCCTCAAATGTTGGGACTCTGTCAGACTCTGTCAAATGTGGCCCCTCCCAGAGATTTCTAACGTGATCCTGATAACTTCGAAAGTAGATGAAGGAACAAGAGGTACAGCTTTCCTCAACTTGATACTAACCAACAGGGAAGACATAGTGGACAAAGGTAACAGCTACAGAAAAGTGTAACTGTAACCATGCTGTATTGAATTCTCGATAATAAAGGGAACTAAAACCAACTGGAGTCAAAAATGGACCCAGGATTTCAAGAAAGCCACCTTTAATAAACAAATTCTCATGGCAAGTCACTCTAAAGGGAAAGGCATCCAAGAAGAGTGGGGAAATCTTAAAAAAAGAAATTCTAAAGGCACAACTATAAATAATTCCAACAAGAAAAAAGAGTAGAAGACAACAGAGGAAGCCCATATAGCTTCACAAAAACCTAAGAGATCATCTGAAAACAAAAGTGACATGTATAGGAGGTGTAAGGAAGGCCAAGCTACAACGGAAGAATATAAGCAAGTAGCAAGAAACTGCAGAGTTGCAGCAAGAAGGCTAAAGCGATAGATGCCCTGCCCTATAGAAGCCTCCGCCCCGAGGCTTCGGCGAATGGGGCGGCATAAAAATGTTTTAATAAAATAATAAATAAAATAATAATAATAATGAACTGAGGCTAGCAAGTGGAGCTAAAAAGAGCAAAAAGGCTTCTTCAAATATGTCCAAAGCAAAAGAAAGACGAAAGAGAAGAGTTCAACTACTCACTGTGGATGGAACAATGATAACAGATGGCAAAGAAAACAAGAAGTTCTCACTCCTTTGGTTAGTCTTCTCCCAAAAGAACTACAACCATTCTGACGAAGGTGTATTACAAGCTGAGGGGGATAGGATGGCAGACCAAGACTGACAGGCAAATGATCAAGGATCTTCTGATTGGCTTAAATGTGATCAACTCTCCAGGGCCTGATGAATTTCATCCCAGAGTCATAAAAGAGCTAGCAGAAGAACTCTCAGAACCACTATCTATCATCTTTGAGAATTCATCTTTGAGACAGGGAAAGTGCCAGATGACTAGAGAAAGGCTAATGTTGTCCCTATCTACAAGAAAGGGAAGAAAAGAAAAGAAAAAACCAATGAGCCTGGGAACTAGAGTATGGTCACTCTGACATCAATCCCTGGAAAAATTCTAGACCAAATTATTCACTGTGTGAATGCTGTGGACATAATCTATCTAGACTTTAGCAAAGTGCCCCACAACATCCTGATTACCAAACTAGCAAACATTGAGCTTGATAGTACAACCATTAGGTAGACCCACAATTGGCAACAAAATCAGACTCAAAGAATGCTCATCAATGGCACATTCTCAAACTGCGGAGCAGTACTAGGTAGAGTTCCACAGGGTTCTGTCCTGGGACTGGTCCTCTTCAACGTGATTATTAATGATTTAGATGAGGAAATACAAGGAAAAATAATTAAATTTTCAGATGACACAAAATTGGGTGGAATAGCAAATACCCTGAAGACAAATATAAGATACAGGGTGATTTCAATAGGTTAGAACGGTGGGCAGACAGCAACTGAACAGGGACAAATGCCAAGTCGTCCACAGGAACAAGAAACCAAATGCAATGCTACAAGATGGGGGAAACTTGTCTCAACAATACTGCAAATGAGAAGGTTCTTGGGTTTGTTGTAGATGACAAGCTAAATAAGAGCCAACAATGTGATTCTGCTGCAAAAAGGGCAGATTCTATTTTGGGCTGCATTAACAGAAGCATCACCTCTAAACCACGGTAAGTACTAGTTCCACTATACCCAGCGCTAGTCAGATCTCACCTAGAGTACTGTGTCCAGTCCTGGGTACTTAAGTTTTTAAAAGATGCAGAAAAGCTAGAAAGGGTACAGAGAACAACAAGGATGATTTCTGCAAAGTCCTATGACAAAGGATTGAGAGAACTGGACATGTTCACCCTGAGGAAGAAAGACTGAGGAAAGATATGATAGTACTCATACAAGTACCTCAAAGGTTGTGTCAAAGAGGAAAGACAAGATCTCTTCTTGTTCATTCCAAAGTGCAAGACACAGAATAACAGACTTAAGTTAAAAAAAGAACAAATTTAGACTAGATATAAGGAAGATTTTCCTGACTGTCAGAGCAGTATGACAATTACCTGAGAAACTTGCAGGCTCTCCCTCACCAGACATTCAAAAAGCATTTGGACAGTCATCTAAATGGGATTGTATAAGTCAGTGTAAGTTAGTAACCAGGAGTTTGGACCCAATGGCCCTCTTTCCCCTTCTAACTCTACTTTTCTATGGTTATATGAAGCTCAATCAGGTGGGGTGCGATAGAGACCCACCACTTAACATAAAATATGAAGGTGGAGTAAGAATTGAATCAAATATAGGATAGCATTGCTTGCCTACAGGCAAACTATGGAAGGAACCCAGAGCCAGGTAATTTCTGGCACTAATAGTAATTCTCTCACTACACTCAATACCAACTGAAGGAATAGTGCACCTGCATAATTAGTAGATCACATGCAAACAAATATGACAATACAGGCAGTTAAAGCCAGGCCAGATGTGCGTGGTACAGCCTATTATAATCCTTGGCCTGCGGTTGCCTGCTTCCTTTCACCGAGAGGCAGGAGATGTCAGCATGCTGCATGGTTCTGGACATTTTTAAATGCCAGGTTTAAAAAAAAAAACACTTAAAAAAACACTTTATCAACATCTCCTTTTTAAAATAATTACGCTTATTTATATTGAAGGTTACAGAAAATTCACTTTCCCGTGATTCCAGAGTGCTTATTTGACTTAATTACTAACCCCCATTAAAGTTCCTTTAAAAATATCAAACCTGATTTTAGTCCCCAGAAACAGGACGCGCGCGTCCCTGGCTTCTGCCCGTCCAAGGTCAATGCAGGGGGCGAAACTACTGAATGTGCAGAAGGGGCAGGTTGCCATTAGCTCCCCTTAACCGAAAACTACTTCTAGCATGACTTCATAGTGCGTACAAAACAAGGCAGATTCTCGGCCCTTTTATCTAACAGACCTTTCACTCAGAATTGTTATTTGTCGCTGACGAATCAATCGGGGCACTTGCGCTCGGGAAGAATCCGCTCACCGTTCCTCGTCATTGGTTGCTCTCGCTGGACTGGCCGACCGCCCACTGAGGCAGAGGTTAGACTCTGACCCGTCAGGAACGTAATGCCCGGGGAGGGAGGGGAGTGAAGGAGGAAGAGAAGGAAGAAGGAAAGAAGACAGCGGCGTCATGGCTGCGCTCAGAGTCTCGCGGGTGAGACGGTTTGTGCGGCGGCGAGTAGACTAGAATGGGTGTGTAAGAAGGAGAGTTGGGTGCGAAGATTAAAGTCGGTTGAGCAGGCGGCAGGCGGCAGCGGCAGGATTGCAGGGCTGTCTAAAATTAATGAGCGAGCTTGTGAAGTCGGAGGCCTGGGCTTGTTTCCATGTTGTAGTGCAGCCTTCCCTAACCCGGTGTCTTCCAGATGGCAGGCTGGCGGGTGGATGAATGTTGGCAAATGTAATCCTACAGCAGGAGGGCACCAGATTGGGAAAGGCTTTATGCATGGGATGAGCGTCCAGAATGGACGGGCACCCTCGCATTATATTAAGCACGCTGCCCCGCTTTACCAGTTCCGTACAGGCTGATTTATCATCTGGAGCAAGTATCCTTTCTCCATAGGTGACGGGCACAACTCATAGCAAGTGAAAGTAATGTCCAAAAAGGAAGGTTTGCAATCTTCTGTCGAACTGAAGTTTATTTTTTTAAACATGTCTTTGGAAACTTCTTGCAGTACCTACAGTGGACAGTGAAAGACTGAAGTTTCCTGGAGTCCCCATGACATTAATTTTAACCTGAAGAAACAGCGGTTACGAAACTTGAACTATATTATTTAAGTGATATGGCAGGCAAACACATTTTAACAGGGAGACAATTAATATGACAATAACTTGAACCAGCTTGTTTGCTTTCTCTTGTCTCCCTTGTTTACTGGCATTATTTTCAGAGGGACTGTTTACGTATAAAAATAACGCCATTTAAAACAGATTTTAGTACTTACATGCTTTTGCCTTGAAGAGGTACTCAGATTCTGAAACAGTGGGAAGATCATGTAGTTACTACAAAAGTGCAAGTGTTCTTGCGCTGTACAAGTTTTCATGTCCAGGAAGTACCTAGGAAAGAAGAATAAGGCAAACATCATTTTTGTGCAGATTGCTGAAACAAAATTATTACTACAAGAGTGAAAAACAGAACAGTTTACCATAGGAAAAACCACTACATGGAAACAGCCACAATGGAAAACAAAGCACCTTAAAAGCACTGTCATATTGGGATTGTAATGAAATCTGGTAGTAGCAGTATGCAGCTCTTTTCCTTTTCTCAAGTATGCCATGAGAAGTAATGGGAAGTTTTGGCTGTGGAGAGGTATAGAAATAAATATTAATTTCCAACCCATTAAATGCAAAGAATTTAATGGAACAAATTGTAAAACTTCAGCATTTGGCATGGGAGCCTAACCTACATAATTCGGTGAACCATCTCCTTTTGTGGGTGGTATGAGTTTATGTTTGTAACACCATATACAACTTGGATGGGCACCCAATAACAGATATTTCCTAAGTTTCTGCAACATTTTAAAACAATGACATTCAGTATTAAAATGCAATATCAAAACAGTAAAAAACAGCATAAAATGGTTATTCCCAACATACACAAATAGCCACAGGCTATTAAGTTCTTTAAGATAAATGTGTAAAGAGTTGTGAAGGTGAACATATTAACCAAAATGTTCTGGCCTTTAAATTTTGTACATTGGAAGTTCCAGGAGCTTGTTTAGTTATATCTTGCTTAGGACTTGTTCCAAGTTTCTCTGTACAGTCACTTTTTTGTTTCTTGACAATAACTGATCTAAGCTGGAGGACGAATAGGTGGACTTCACCCTTCTCCTGCTTTTTTATAAACCCCTGGGCTTTTTAAACTATTATCATTCTACTCTGCTTAGACAGAAATTTTGATTTCTTTCTGCTTACATTTATACCTTGGGGTTTCATAAAGATGATGATGTTTATGGATATCCTGATGACCTTCATGTCCCACTTTAAGAAATAATTAAAGTGCCCTTTATTTTCCTGTTTGACTTGCTCCATTCATTTCTTATTTGCCAAGCAATTACTGTATGGATTTTACTTTCCATAGGAGTTAGTTGAAACCCCATTGGTGAGGGTGTTCAAGGATAGGCTAGACATGCACATGGTAGGCATGTCATGAGCAGAGCTGATGGCCTGGGAGGCCCCCTTCTGGCTCACTCTCTGTTTCTCAGTTTTTGTGTTTCTAAATACACTCAAACTCTTTTTACTTTTTTGTTTTTACTTTTATGCCCTATTTTCTATTTCTGAGCCCTCTTTAGATTAGAAAGCAATGGGCAGGGACCTGTTTATTTCTGGTAAACGGGCTGCACCATCCGGTGTGGCTTCCCATAACTTGATAGGGCGGGAAGAACATGGAGATGAAGGTCACCTTCTTGCTTCTACCAGCCTACCAAAGACTTAGAAGGATGATTTGAGCCATTTAGATCTGTTTTCCCTATTTATGAGTACAAATCTGATACACGTATATAATCCTTTAGCAGATGAATCAAAAAGCATGCTGTGCTTAGTAATTTTTCAACTAATTCTAGCCCAAAATGGTGTGCCAAATACACTGGTCTATGAACCTATTTGTATTGTAATAATCTTTATATTCACCTACCTTAAATCCAAATTCTAGGTAATACAAAGTATCGCAACATGTGGGTGGAGAGCGCAGTCCAGTCAAGCTACTGCAGCATATAAAATCAAAAGTGCAGCTGGCTTTAGTTTTGGTAAGCACTGACAACACATCAGAAAAATAATCCATAAATTAAGATTGCTTCTAGACAGATGCTTCCTGGTAGTCTAAAGAAGCCCGGGCCCAATTCAAGGTGTTGATTATGACCTACAAAGCCCTAAACGGCTTGGGTCCTGGCTACCTGAACGAGCGCTTACGTCCGTATATGCCCGACCGCCCTTTGAGATCTGCGGGAGAGTCCCTTCTCCGGGAACCCTCCATGAAAGAAATTAGGAGATTAAGTACCCGGAGGAGGGCTTTCTCTGCGGTGGCGCCCAACCTATGGAATTCACTCCCCAAAGAGGTCCGCCTGGCACCGTCGTTACTGGTTTTTCGGCGCCAGGTAAAGACCTTTTTATTTAAACATCATTTCAATTGTTAAAACATATGATCTGGCCAGGGCAACTTCTTCTTCCTTCTCTTTCTCCTCCTATATTTTTATTTTATACTGATAATTTTAATTTTGTATTTGTAAATCAATGTATTTTTTGTATTTTTATATTTAATGGTAATTTATTATGTACTATTGTATTTCAATGTATTTTATCATGTTGTAAGCCGCCCCGAGGTTTCGGCAAGGGGCGGCATAGAAATGCTATAATAATAATAATAATAATAATAATAATAATAATAATAATAATAATAATAATAATATTGTGCAGTTATTCTGACTTTCTTTCAGTGGATCCTTGTATGTGTGAAGAAAAAGGCAAAAGAAAATACATGGAAGGATTACCAGAAGATCATTGTTGCTCCCACCTACTCCTGGCCATGGCTCCATAAAATCTTTTCTTTTTTGCTAGGATACAATAAAAACTCATTTGGAAGCATCCTAATGTTTATGCCTAAAATTTCCTTAAAAATCTAAATGATTCTAAAGGTATTTCAAAATCCCAAGGACTTTTTTTGTCAGAATGTGTACCTTTGGGCCATTCTGAATATGTGACAAGATCAATTATTAGATTATTGATCACTTGATACTTATATTTTATAACACTCTATATTTTTTCACTAAAATCAGCTAATAGCAGTGCAGAGCTCTTTAGTCCTTCACGCTTTCCCTGTCTAGGTTTCACCACAACCTGCTGTTTGCTCTGGAACAAACAGAAATAAAGTAAAATTCAGAAATAAGCTGATCCATGTTCACTAGCAGTATGTGTTAGATAACTTGGTGGCTTTGTTGCCTATCTTGTTCTGTAGCATGGTATGAAGTAGCTCAGGTGTGTCTGTTCACAGGTAGATGTTCTTGTAAAAGACAAATTATCTATTTGAGAGGGACATTATTAGAGAGTCTTTCTCTCTTCCCTCCACCAAGTGCAGTTGTGTATAACTATGTTTTCTCCTTAGCTGGATTTTCTTTCCATCTGATTTTGTTTATGAACCATTTCAGATTATAGTTCCTAGAAAGTCCTGCTGTCTTCCATTCAGTGAGGGATTTCCCTATAGTGCTGTACTCCTTGCTTTGTCACACCATGGTCACTAGAAGAATTACAGATTGTATTTAAGTGCCACAAAAATTTGGGTCTGCTGCTGCTAGAATGCATTATTGCAGTCCTAAAGACTGTCTTGCATGATTCTGGATACCTGAAAGTCAGACTTGTGGGTATATTTGAGGATTTGAAAAAATGCCTTCTTTTCTAGAACTTACTGAAGAACAGAAAGAATTTCAAGCTACAGCTCGTAAATTTGCTAGAGAGGAAATTTTGCCTGTTGCTGCTCATTATGACAGAACTGGAGAGGTAGGTTTGCTGTACAGAAGGAAAACTTTTTTGCTTAATATTTCATTGTGTAAACCACTAAATAAACTGTAAATAAATACTTCCATATATCTTTCTAGTATCCTGTTCCTCTCATTAAAAGGGCATGGGAGCTTGGCTTAATAAATTCACACATACCAGTGAGCTGTGGTGAGTATACTACCTTTTCAGGTATTAAACAGAAGAGATGATAGAACACTTTTACAGGAGGCAAAGGGACTATGGATTTTATAATAAAGTGTGTCTGAAGTTGAAGAAGAAATAATAATATCTAGTTTGACTGATATAGGATAAATTCTCATTTATTAAAAAAACTATTAGAAAAGGCAGTGCTACCAAACAGGGCTAGTTTACATATGAATGCTTTTATTTTTTATGGTACACTTAATGATTTATGGGTGAATGTATGAATTCACCTTCCATGAATGTCGGCATCACTGAAAGTCATTGAGCAAAATTGCTGAGGACTTGTTATGAATTGTTCTTAGCACGTAGCATTTGCCTTAAAGAGATTTATATGTAAAAAGTGGGATATCAGTAATTATAATTAAAGAAAAGTCTATATGAGGTACTCAATCTGTGTTGGCTAGTCACATGTACACATCATCAGAGAAATATGTTTTGTGAACTAGATCTGCTTTAGAGTGAATTGAACTAAAAGATATATTGATCTTGGTGTAATAAGATATAAAAAATAAATGTTCCATAGCATGGATTTTATGGTATTATTTGTTGTACAATACTGTTTTGTTATAGGTGGCCTTGGCCTTGCTACTTTTGATGCCTGCCTTATTACTGAAGAATTGGCTTATGGATGTACAGGGGTTCAAACTGCTATCGAAGCAAATTCACTGGGTGTAAATATTTTCTCTTTTCATTATAAGATTTAGTCTAGACAAAGACTTCCTGTTTATTAAAAGAATAAACCTTTTTCTTGTAGCAAATGCCAGTCATCATAGCAGGGAATGAGCAGCAACAGAAGAAATACCTAGGAAGAATGACTGAAGAACCCATAATGTGTGTAAGTTGGTTTTCCAAGTCTTTAGAACCTGTTTTGAGTTGTTTTAAAACTTGGCCACCTTTTCTGAGAACACAAAAATGTATGTTACATTACGTATATGATACAGTTATGCATATACTGTACACACACACACACACATAATGTGTGGGTTATAGTTATGAAATTATAGTTATAGAATTATAGTTATAGAAATTATAGAACTATAGTTATTTTCAAAGTATTATTGAAAATACAGGCAAATCTTAGCTATCATGTGACACCTGACTGATACGCTAATTCTGAATTTATAATACAATTTATTGTAAAGAAGTATTCGTAAACTGAATGAAGGACAATAAAAACTAAATGTTAAGGAAATCCATTTCATTTATGTGAACCCATAATAGGATTTTTCAAACATATAAAGCACTAAAAGCCTGATAGTCAGTAATCTTGATTCAGTGACACCTAAAAAATAAACAACTGGTACAACATTCCAAAGGCCACCGAAATCCGTACTTATTAGTCTGTCCTTGTTCCAGAGGTGTACAAATAGCATCTATGTGCACAGTAGATATGGTTCATTTTAACATAGAAAGTAATACAAATGTGAATGTGACTTGTCAGCCTTCATTGGAATAGCTAATGAACCACAGAGATCCAAAGAATATAACAGGGACATGATTTAATTACTCCTGGTAGCTTTGTACTACCCCAACAATAAACTCATAATTGAGTTTTTACTCTACTTGTAGTGATATTTATTCTGTTATAAATATCCTCAATAAATCACTGATTTATAAATGAACAGTGAAGCTTTTGCACTGTGTCCATGTAGCACTAGTGGATATAATAGATTTTCAAATCTCAGGCCATCACAAGAAATATATAAAGTAAGATGTGTGATGGGGTTTACACAATGTGGCAGCCCATTATGGTAAGCACTCGTGTTGTGTTGTGTTGTGTTGTATGAACCTAGTTCATTTCACTCAAGGTGGACTGTTTTGGGGCAACAAACCATTCTCATAACCCATGGCTTGTTGTAGGAGGTGTTGAGTTGCTGCATCATGCAAACCTGGGCATTTTGTTTGGACAGGGAATCACAGAATCATAGAATAAGAGCAGGAAGGGGCAATGAAGGCCATCAGTTCCAACCCCCTGCTGTTGCAGGACACCACGTTACACCATCCAACTCAGATGGCTGTCCAGATTTGCTTTGAATGTCTCTACTGTGTGAGAGCCCACCACCTTTCTAGGCAGCTGGTTCCACTGTCATGTGCCTCTGACAGTAAGGAAACTTTTCCTGATATTTAGCCTAAATCTGGGTTGTCACAACTTGAATTGATTATTCCATGTCCTGCACTCTGGTATCAATGAGAAGAGATATCAGACCTTCCTCTTTCTGATACCCTCAATCTTCTCTTCTCAAGGCTGAACATCCCCAGTTCTCTCAGTCTTTCCTCAAAAGTCAGTGTTTCCAAAACTGAGATCATTTTTGTTGCCCTCTGCTGGACACATTCTAATATTTCTGCATCTTTCTTAAATCTTGGTGCCCAGAACTGGACAGAGTATTCCAGATGCGGTCTGACTAGTGAGGAGTATAGGGGAACTACTGAGTTTCATGATTTGGAAGTAATACTTCTGTTAATGCATCCCAAAATAGCACTTGCCCATTTGGTGGCTGCATCGCATGGTTGGCTCATGTTTAGCCTATTGCCCACAATTAACTCTGAGGTTGTGGTCTTCTCAGTTCTGTTGAGCCATGTATTTCCCCCTCTTGAATCAATGCAATAGCTTTGTTTCTACTAGGTAGAGGACTTGACACTTCTTTCCACTGCATCTCATTCTTTTGCTTTCAGTCCAGTGTTCAAGATTATTAAGATCATTCTGGATATTTATTCTGTCTTTTAGGGTATTTGATATTTCCCCAAGCTTTGTATCATCTGTGAATTTGGATATCTTTCCTTGTACTCCCTCATCTAAATCATTCATAAAGATGTTGAAGAGCACTGGGCCCAGGACAGAACCCTGTGGCTCCCCACTAGTTACCTCCCTCCAGTTTGAGAAGGTGCCATTGATGAGCCCTCTTTGTGTCCGATTTAGCAGCCCATTTTGGATCCACCTAATAGTTTTTCTATCTAGTCCAGTTTTTGCTAATTTGCTTATCAGAATGTCATGTGGCATTATGTCGAAAGCTTTGCTAAAGTCTAGGTGGATTGTATCCACAGTGTTCCCTCTGTTCATTTGGGAAGTTACTCAGTACAAAAAATGAGATTAAATTAGTCTGACAGGATTTATTTTTGATAACTCTGGGTTGGCTTCTCTTAAGCACCGCATTTCACATGCTTGCAGATGGATTTTTTAATAATCTGCTCCAGTGTTTTTCCAGGGATTGATGTCAGACTAACCAGTCTATTGTTCCCAGGTTCATCTTTTCCCCGCTTTTTGAAGACAGGGACGATAGCCCTTCTTCAGTCATATGGCACGTCTCCTGTTTTCCAAGATTTATTGAAGATAATAGCCAGTGGTTGTGAGAGTTCTTCTGCTAGCTGTTTTATGACTCTGGGATGGAGTTCATCAGGCCCTGGAGATTTGAACATGTTTTTTCCATCTAGGTATTCCTTGACCATTTGTTTGTCAATCTTGGGCTACCACCTCCCACTTTCAGCTTGTGCTTCCTCTTGATTGTATATTTTCTTGTGGGAGAAGACAAGTAGGAATTGAGCGCCTCTGCCGTTCCTTGTCAGCCTTTATCACTCTGCCATCCACTTTAAGTAGCTGGACTCCCTTCTCTTTTTCACGTCTTCTGATGTATCTTTAGAAGGATTTCTTGCTATTCTTAGCATCCCTTGCTATTCTCAGTTCATTTCCTTCTTTAGCCTTCCTGATGGTGTCCTTGCCATTCCTTGCTATTTATATTCTTCCTTCATGGTCTGGTCCTGCTTCCACTTCCTGTACATTTTCTTTCTTTTTTTCAGGCTGACACTTAATTTTTTGTGGAACCATGTGGGCTTCCTCTGATATCTTCTGCAGTTTTTTCTTGTTAGAGTTGTTTGTAGTTGGGCTTGGAGAATCTCCTTTTTCAAGGTTCCCACCCCTCTTTGGCTCCTTTCCCCTTAAAGGCATGTTGCCATGGCAGTTTGCTTATCATTGTTCTGAGTTCCTTAAAGTTGGCCTTCTTGAGGTCCAGGATGTGTGTTTGGCTCCAGTTACCGTTTGTCTCCTTTATAATTGAGAATTCAGGTATTGCACGGTCACTTTCCCCCAGAGTTCTCATGATTGTTATTTTGTCCCCCAGGCCATCCCTGTTAGTATTAAATTGAGGATAGCAGATCCTCTCGTTCCTTCCTCTACCTTCTGCTGGATGAAGTAGTTGGTAACACGTCAGGAATCTCTTGAAGGAGGATTGTTTGGCAGACATTGTCTCCTGTCATATACCATGGAAATTGAAGTCCCCAGCTTTGGCTACATCATTCTTGAAGGTTGCATCTGTGTCCTCCATTTGACTGGGTGGTTGGTAACAGGTGCCAGTAACCATGTTTTTCTTATTTTTTGCACCCTTTAAATTAAGCCAGTTGCTTTCAGTGGGGATACTGTTCCTTTTCTTGTATTTCTCAGCAGATATATGTGTCTCTTATGTATAGTGCAACTCCTCCTCCCTTTTTGTCCTATTTTTTCTTGAACAGGTTGTATCCATCAATTGTAGAGTTCCAGTCATGTGAGTCATCCTACCAAGTTTCCGTTATTCCTATATGATCATAATTTCCCTCATGTACTGTGAGCTCAAGTTCGTGTTTTGTTTCCCATACTCTGGTATCCTTTTCCTTTATTGATTGGCCTTTTGTCTCTTTTTCAGGGTTACACAGTGTGTTGTGTAGTTCTTTCACAGTGGGTGTCTCACTAGTCTGTTTCTCAAGTAACTGAAAGCAATTTGCAATTTCCACTGCTTCTACTGATGTGTATTCTAGGTCTTTTGCATGTAACTGTCACCCTGTTCCAGGGAATTTCACATTCATTTCCACATTTTCCCTTCTCTCAGGGTTCTCTTCTTCTGCCTCAGCTTGTTGATGTTCTTCTTGTTTCCGAACTACACTTAGCTGTTGCAGCTTCTTTGCTCTGTCTAAAAACTCTTCTTTTATTATCTGGAGGGTGGACACTCACTGCTCCAGTGCTCTCACCTTTTCTTCAAACAGGGCTGCTAGCTTGTACTTGTTGCATGTGTAGGCCATGTTGCTCTCAGGTAAGAAAACAAACATTGCATATTTATTGTAGGTCACCACCATTGTGGACTCCCCTTGGTCCATTGTTCAGGCAACTGTAGTGATACTGTCTTTCAGGGACTGTTGTGACAACTAGTGCTTTCTCCTGTGTTCCCTAAGGTTAGCAACAGAGTTCTACTAGTAAATGGGAGTGTGTTACAAGGAGGAAAACAAGTCTGTGGGTTGGTGGAACTAAGGTGAAATAAAGAAGTTGGGGGGAAATATTAGGGATCTCCCCCTTGACCTCTCCTGCTGAACTCCACCAGCAAACTCCTGTTTGCTCTCCCTGGGAGCTTGGCTGCTTGTATCCCAGAGGCCCTAGGCCAGCTGGAGCAGCTTGCTCTGCTGTGTTCTGCTAGGAACCAGAAATAGGCAGCTATGAAATCTATGTTTATTTTCTCTTCCAAAATAATGCCCAAATTTGCCAGATAGGTTTATATTAACAAAGAACCCATTCCATTGACATCTGTCAAATTTTAATGCTTGAATAATGGGTGTAGTGTCATGAGAGCCTTTCCTTTCTTGCTGCTAGTTCCAAAATACAAGCTTGTCTCTTTGCAATGCATATCTTCATTGGCAGTTTGCAGCTACAGGACAAAGTAACTCTAAAAACCCTCTAGTGGGTTGGAAGATAAAACTGGGAACTTCTTTGCAAAATCCTTCCCTTTCAGAAACTCTGTGGGCTTCACCCTCAGGGTGTATCCTGCTGGTGAAGACTTGTACAAACCATGTAACTGGGCAGCTCATCTCTCCTGTCACGGAATCAGGGACTGACTCTCTCTCATCTGCTTCTTGGAGCCCTCATGCCTCTTCCAGCTCATCTCTACTCTTCTGTTCACTATGGAACCTGAGGGCAGTGACCCTAAGGGTGCTTCAAAGGCATTTGACTCTCCCCCAGTTTCCATAAGTCCCATCACAAAGTTATCAAGCTCTTCTTCCTCTTCTTCAGTGACTCGGGGATGCCTGCCAGGAGTGGTTATCAAGTTCACGTATTACAGGTTGGGTGTAGAGCTCTACTTTCTTGTTTACCTAGAAAGTCAGGGAATGGTAAAGAGCACTGAGAACTGTCCTGACTTTGCCATCCCATTTCAGTGCAAAACCCTATCACACTGCTTTTCAGATGACAGCTCGCTAATTGATAGCAGGCAGTTAGTTATATGCAATCTCATTTGCTCTTGGATGTTACCTATAGCACGTTGACACCAGCCAGGACACTGACCATAATATTTCAGGGAAATTTAAGTGTGTAACTGCAAAAGATCCCAAAGATAAAATACACAATCTCAACTGTGCAGATTTCTGCTGCCCAAAGGAGGGAAAGGGTTAATAAGTCTATGATGGCCATACTCCAAAATGCCATTTGGGCGTGGGAGCAGCTATTACTGGTGGCAGCATGGGGCTTGGGGCGGGGGGAACAGGAAACATGGGTCTGCAGTTACAACAAGGAGGTGGAGAAAAGTTTTGTTGAGCAGGACCTTGGGATACTGGGTAGATACTGTGGGAAGGATACCATGGGAAGAAAGAGCAGGAGGACAACCCATAGTAAGCCCAATTATATGGTAGAGGCATCATGGATTGTTCTTTTTTCCCCTTTATAGTTGCTAGTAATTATTATTCTGTCTGGGAGAACTGGACAAGTAAAGTCAGGAAATGGTAATGTAGGGCACACAAGGCAGGGGAAGAAGGTAGGCCCTGTGAAGGATGCCTGTGTCAGGCTAGGAGATGGCCATGGCAGGAATCATGGGTGTTACTGTCTGCTGCAACATCTGTGACATGTTTGCCCTTCTCCCTTAAGAGAGGCAAGGATACACTTGCCCTAGGTGCAAGCTGGTGTCCCTCCTAGAGGAGGAGGTGAGGGGTCTGAGGGCTGAAAGAGCTCTCCAGGCAGCCTCTCCAGACTGCTCTCTTCTGGGAGTAGCCCCCTTCCGGACAGAAGGTTGAGGAAGGACCGAGGGAGAAACAGCTGGGGAGACATGGAGGCATATCACCTACACGAGGAGGTCGGCATGGACTCCACTGTCTCCTGGCACTGACCTAGAGCTGGGAAACAGGTTTTCTCTGCTTGGGGAGGCTGGGACTGATGAGGACTTGGGGACCAACCTGCGGTGGTGGGTAGAGACCTGTTTTCCCCTGTGGAGTAGGCCAGGACACATTCCAGTGGAGCAAAGCTTAAGGAACCAAGGTTCAATTTGGATGCCAGGAAATACTTCCTGACAGTTAGGACCACTAGGGTATGAAATGGGCTTTCACGGGAGGTGGTTGAAGCCCCATCAGTGAGGGTGTTCAAGGATAAGCTGGGCATGCACATGGTAGGCATGTCCATGAGCAGAGCTGGCTGGAGCCAGGGGTCAGACCAGATGGCCCGGGAGGCCCCTTCTGACTCACTCTGTTTCTTTGTTTCTAACTCACACTGCATAGCTTATTTGCAGGATGAGTTTGGTGTGTGAACTCGCCCAATGTGTAATGTTGCCATATTTATTAAATTTGCTTTGACTGTAGTATGTGACTTTCTTTTTCAGGCCTATTGTGTAACAGAACCGGGAGCAGGCTCTGATGTAGCAGGTTTAAAAACACGAGCAGAAAAGAAAGGCAATGAATATATAATTAATGGACAAAAAATGTGGATCACCAATGGTGGCAAGGCCAACTGGTATAGCAATTTCTCTTAGCTAACTTTGTATGTAGTGTTTTCCTTTTTAAATACTAAAATACTTATTTATTCATATAAGGATCACTTTTTAGCATTTTGACAGTTCTTGTGTTATACTCAGGATGCCCAGTGAATATCCCAGTGGACAGACCCCAATAGGATCAGTCTGACCCCACAGAGTTTTTTTAAACCTGCTGACTGCATTGTATAGGTGGCATGCACTACCTGCACAATGCCAATTTCACAATTCCAGGGCATCCTAGAATAAGCAGAAGCACTGGAAGAAGAGGTTGACCTCTGCATGTTTCTGCTCATTTGGGGACATCCACCAAGAAGTGCTAGTTCTCACCCATGTCAGCTGTAGTTCCCACTTGCACAGTGCGGTGGACAGGAGGCAATACTTGTATAATAGAATCAGTGGTAGGAAAAGAACCATTGAGGGCATAAGGATACTGCCCAGTGTTTGTCACTGGGGAAGGGTAATTCAGTATCGCTTTTTACCTTACCCTAAAGAACGCAAGAGCCAGTGTGGTAATGTGCATCTCACATTCTTGACCAAAAACCAAGAGTTGCCTTGGGATGACAAGAATAAAGTAGCAATATAAACAGTGACTGTGGCAAAGAGTGAAGGCAAATATATAAGGAGTAGGGATAGAGCCATCTCTTCTGAATATTCATGCTTGCACAATATTACTTGTAAATGTTCATTAATTTTTACCTAGTGTAGAGTGCTTAGCTCTTTAGAATTAGTCTCTAAACTATATTAATTTCCATGTAATTCAGAGAGACACACACAAGAGAATGCTATGAGGCTGTGTTGATCCATTATTTGAGTGCTTGGTCAGTGTTTAGCTCCTGGTGCTAAAACTATCACAAGCATTTGTTAGCGTGAAAGTCAAAGTTAAACCACTGTGGTTTCTGTATGTGTTTTACTAGGTATTTTTTATTGGCTCGCTCTGATCCAGATCCCAAAGCTCCTGCAAGCAAAGCTTTTACTGGATTTATTATAGAAGCTGACAGCCCTGGAATACAAGTGGGAAGGAAGGTAAGATTAATATATTTTAATCTTAATTAAATTACCAGAATTCTTAATATATGAATATATATAACTCTATATGAATTACCTTATGATTAATATTTAGTCATCTGTATTGCATAACTGCAGTTCCACAAAAAGCCTAGTGATAGTGCTCTTTTTACCAGGTGAATAGGAGAGAACACTCAGGCACAGCAACCGCAATAGATACATAAATAAGAGAGTAGAGTGGCATACCTATTATTTTTAAAAGAAATACAACAGCATGGCAAGTGAGTATTAACTGGGATGGTTACCAACTTAATATTAAAATTGCCAGCCTCTCTCTCATACTACATGTAAGTTTGCTTGTTTTGCAAGAAAGGAGAACTCCTATGCAGTGGTAACTCAGTAGGGCTTATAAAAAACACAGGAGGTTGCTTATTGCATCCTTGGTACTTACTAGGAAGGCTAACAGTTTTATAGGCAGTCTTACCCATGAAGGATTCTTGTATGTAGAAGGGTTTCTCTGTTCGCTGCAACAATTTCCACTGTATATGTGAAGCTCTAAACTGAATGGAGAAGTCCATACTTGTCAAAAATTATGTCTGTACATTTGAAATGCCCCCTGAATTTTAGATTGTGTTCAAAGTGCCAGAATAATTGAGAAAGTTTACTTATGCATAGTAAATTCCTAAGCATGTCAACTCAGCAGTAACTCATCACTGAGTTTAGTGGAGCCAGGTTTGAGTAAATGGGCACAGCACTACAACCTTAATCCAACATTCCACCTTTGTTTTGAGTTACCAGGCTATATAATCAGATAAAAAAGAAATTAATTGTTATGCCTTGTATGTTAATGATACTCAAGTAACATTCACTGAGTTTCTTTGACTTGTAAAATCCAGATCTTCACATTCAGACTTTATACAGAATTATGATTCATCAGTACAAGCAGTTCATCTGCAGGGAAGTATAGAAACATAGAAACAGAGCAAGTCAGAAGGGGTCTCCCGGGCCATCTAGTCTGACCCCCAGCTGCAGCCAGCTCTGCTCATAACATGCCTACCATGTGCATGTCCAGCCTGTCCTTGAACACCTACGTTGATGTGGCTTCAACTAGTAAATGGAAAGTTTAAGTATATTGCATCTGATTAAATGGGATTTTGTTCTATTCTTTGGTTGTTAATATTATGTACTATTGTATTTCAATGTATTTTATCATGTTGTAAGCCGCCCCGAGGTTTCGGCAAGGGGCGGCATAGAAATGTTATAATAATAATAATAATAATAATAATAATAATAATAATAATAATAATAATATAGTTTATAGAGAGAATGCCACCTTTTTTCTTCTAAATCCCTTTCTAGATTACAATATGTGGCCGTTCTGGTTTTTTTCTTTAATCTTATCCAAGGCTGACCTATGATAAGGCCGCACGTGTACCAAAATGTTAGATACAAGTTGAATATGTTGGTTTCATTTTTTCTGTATGATTTCTCCTGGAAAGTAGTGTACCACTTTTTGTGCTTCCCTGGGACTTTCTTAGAACAACAAAAAGTGGATTAAAAAAAAAATCTCATTTTTTTTATTTTAGTATGTTGACAACATTTATTTGTTGACATTACTTTTAAAAATTTTAAAGGCCTTCATACCTTTTTTAAAGTATATTTTTAGTGTGTGTGCAGAAACTTATAGCTGTGAGACTTACAGTTAAACTAAATGCAGCCAAACTGAAACTAAATGTAGCCAAACATGCACCCCGGATTTCAAAAAAGCCAACTTCAGCAAATTCAGGACAATGATAAACAAAGTCCCAAGGCATGCCACTCACGAGGGAAAAGGAGCCCAAGAAGGGTGGGGTATCATTACAAACGAAATTCTAAAGGCACAACTACAAACAATTCCAACAAGAAAAATGAGTAGTAGACAACAGAGGAAGCCCACGTGGCTTCACAAAAAGCTAAGAGATCATCTGGAAACAAAAAGGGACATGCATAGGAGAAAGGCCAGGTTACAAAGGAAGCCCATCTGACTTGCTATGCTTTTATGTTTCTATGTTTCTAATTTCATTTTTTGACCTTCCAAATGTACTGTGGGAATGCTGTGAACATAATCTATCTAGACTTTAGCAAAGTCTTTGACAAAGTGCACCACAACATCCTGATTACCAAACTAGCAAAAATTCAGCTAGATAGTACAACCATGGGTGGATCCACAATTGCCTACCAAATTGGACACAAAGAATGTTCATCAATGGCACATTCTCAGACTGGAGTGGGGTGCTGAAGTTCTGGGCACCTAAGTTTTTAAAAGATGCAGAAAGGCTAGAGAAGGTAGAGAGGATGGCAACACGGATGATTCAGGGAGTGCAGGCAAAGCCCTAAGAGGAAAGATTGAGAGAACTGGCCATGTTCAGCCTCAGGAAGAGAAGACTGAGGGGAGATAGGACAGCTCTTTACAAATTCCTTAAATGTTGTCACAAAGAGGAAAGACAAGATCTCTTCTCATTCATTCGAGAGTTCAGGACATGGAATAAGTTAAAAGAAAGCAGGTTTAGAGTAGACAACAGGAAGAATTTCCTGACTATCAGAGTAGTACAACAATAGAACCTATTACCTGAGGAAGGTGTGGGCTCTCCTTCACTGGAGACATTCAGAAAGTGTTTGGACAGTCATCTAAATAGGATGGTATAACTTAGAGGCCTACAATAGCATGGGTTTGGACTCAATGGCCTTCTGGCTCCTTCTAACTCTACTATTGCATGATTCTATGATTTAGAAAGATCAATATGCATTTGTTTTCCACTATATCAGAGAATGTTTCTACGAATGAACAATTCCATCTTCTATAAACTTCATTTTTAGGAGCTTAATATGGGTCAGCGCTGCTCAGATACAAGAGGAATTGTTTTTGAGGATGTAAGAGTACCCAAAGAAAATGTTCTGATCGGTGAAGGAGCTGGCTTTAAAATAGCCATGGGGGCATTTGATAAAACAAGACCTCCAGTAAGTATTTGAAATAAGTTTTATAAAATCTCCTAAGTGTACAGTTCTAGTTTTATGATATCTATCATTAAAAATACAGGTTGCAGCTGGTGCTGTGGGTCTAGCACAGAGAGCTTTGGATGAAGCTACAAGGTATGCTATGGAAAGAAAAACTTTTGGAAAGTTGATTGCAGAGGTATGTTAATTTCCCATCATGTACATGATTTAGGTTTCAGTTAATGTGTATTGAGGGAGATGTTTTTCAAAAAGTGTTTGTAGACACCAATTCCTCTCTAGGCAAACTGGAAGTCAAATTGTAGCTAAAAATGAAATATAAGTCATCTCTTACTAGAACACATGTATATCAGTAGTGCTGCTTCATAGAAAGTTCTCTCTAATGTAAGAGATTTCAGGATTGCCTCACTTAACAGTTAAAACAATCAGCTGTCTTATGGTGAATCAACTGCTGTTGCTTTATGTGTGGGTTCACATGTTTGTCACTGCTAATGACTAAAACAAGGTTGGAGAACGAGAGGCCCACCAGAAGTTATTAGATTCAAACTTCTATTAGCTCCAGCAAGCATGCCAGTCATTAGGGATAAGAACATTCTAGAGAGTGACAAGTTGTCTACTCTTAAAATAAAGCTGTTTTTAGTATGACTAGCACTGGGTATTAACTGTGTTTCTTTATAATACTTGTTTCTCAATAAGCTATTTGTCAGTAGCGTGTGTAATGAGTTAGTAATCTGCCAGTTGTCTCTTACTTTAATATTAAACTAACATTATCTTATAATAACTGTAATGCTAGAATTGCAAAATAATTATATCTGGGGACTGGGTAGAATACAGAACTGTGAGGCATCAATCATTCAATTGTGAAGTCTTGTCAGTGTAAAAACAAGTAAGTTTTTCTGATAGCTTAATTTTTGTGATTTGTAATTCATGCCTTGGAGGCTTGGACCGAAGTTGGTACTTTAACAGTCATCTCCATCCTATTACTGTTCTCTTCTATGGAATACTTGCTGTACCTTACAAGCTATTTTTTCAAAATTTACCAATGTTCCTCAACAAACTTAGCACCAAGTAGTGTCCTTCATGCTGGCTGAAATGGCAATGAAAGTGGAGCTTGCTCGCCTGGCTTACCAAAGGGCCGCATGGGAGGTGGATGTTGGTCGCAGAAATACCTATTATGCATCTATAGCAAAAGGATTTGCTGGGGACATTGCAAACCAAGTTGCTTCTGATGCCGTCCAGATTTTTGGAGGAAATGGATTCAATACTGAATACCCAGTAGAGAAGCTAATGAGAGATGCCAAAATATACCAGGCAAGTAATCCATATGATGTAAATGCTACAGTTGTCACCCAATAAAGAAAAGGTGGGGGGGAAATCCTGTGACCTGGTATTTCCTAGCCAGCTTGGCTAGCTGAGGAATGCTGGGAGTTGTAGGACTTTTTTGCTGTATAAACATGCATGAGATGGGATTGTGCCTTCAGTATGTTAATAGACTATGTTTGTTTATGAGAAACAATGCTTGAAAAAAGAAAAGCATACTTGCTTTTTAGGCGGCACATCATAGCATCAACAATATTAAAAGGCATTCTCATGGTACATTTACTTTTAAAATGATAGCTTGCCATCTGTAATTTGTTAGTACTTGGATTAAAAACAGTTGGTGGCAGCCTTTTTTAGTCACTCAAAAAGTTTGCTTTTAATATATGTTAATTTAACCAATTGAGTGAGGTTAATGCTACAGATTTTGCTCTTGTGTGAAACAAAGAAGTAGAAAATTAAACAAAGAAAAGCTAACAGCTCAGTCCTAGCAGTTTTAACTTGGAAGTATGTCTCACTGATTAATTTTAATGGCACTTATTCTCACATGCAGCCATGTGGAATTATCATATGCATATTTACTCAATAATACATCCCACTGAGTTTAGCAGTATATAACCAAGTACTAATACATAGCAATCAAAGAGGATTTTCATTGTGTTAAATTTAAATGACCATGCACTGCATTTAAAAAAAACAGAGGTAGAATAATTTCCAAGAAACTTAAAAATTGTAGATGTATCAGTATGCTGTAAATTATACCTATTTGTAAGTTACATATTTTTCACATTACATTATATGTAGCTAAACCATTATATTTTTAGAAAAACAACAGGTGACAATTACAAAGCATATGATCAAATAGCTTGATACAGCTCAAGGTTATATCCTTTCTTATCCTTTCACAGCTAGTTCTGTACACACTAGAACAGTCTCCAGTAACCTAGCATCTCCAGATTTTTAGACTACTACTATCAATAGACGTAAGGCAATGTCAATATACAATTGTAGTCTAAAACATCAGGAAGGTTCCAGGCTAGGGAAGGCATTGGGTTTGTTAAACAACACCCATTCAAACAAAAAATTATGTATCACATTGAATGTCCCTGAGTCCTTAGACCTACCTAAAGTCCAGTACCTCAGCTGTTAAGTTCAGTCTTGCGCAGTGAAAGTTCTGTTATCCCTTCACACATCTGTAGTATGCATCGAATTGATAACATAGTAAAGGCTCCTAAGATGTCTGTTGTATTAAGACATTCTGTATAATTGTAAAGTTGCTCAAAAAACACATACTATTCTCTTTTTTCAGATATATGAAGGAACAGCTCAAATTCAGAGGATGATTGTAGCTCGTGAACATATTGGCAAATTTAAGGGCTGAGAGTACTTGAAATCAAAAAGTGAAAATTCTGGCATGCATTAACTCAACTCTGCAAAGGTCCTCAAAGGTTGTTGTATTTCTTCAGCTTCATATCTGATGTATGAAAAGTTTTAGGAACTTGATTTTGGAGATTTCCTAAATATAGTATGACTTAGTAGAATTTTACACTTTCACCTATCTTTATGTTGACTCATATAGTTATCCCTGTCCTCTGAAGTAGTCTTCCCTGCAACATTTTGAAAAGCCTAGGTTGTGTGCAGGTTAGATCCAGGCTGCCAGTTGCTTGATTGAAAGGATTCCCTAAATATAAAGAACCGACTGAAGGCTTATCCATTCCCTCTTCTGTATCTCATGCTGACTGTCCTGAGAATCTCCCAGTCCTCTGGAGTTGATATTCAAGGAGAAGGAGTGATTGATAGAAGCCCACCAACTAAGCCTGGATTCAGCCTAGTTTGAACTCTCTTTATTGAAACTATTCAAAGTAGCCTCAAGAGGGATTGTATTTTATGTTTTGTTTAACAGCACACAAAGCAGTGTGAAATCTAGTTTAATGACAGACCTTGCTTCTTTGAGATGAATGTCTGTGCAAATATACGTGCTAGTATACTTATAGCAGTGTTTTACATTTTTGTGTATATTATATTCTTTCCTGAAACAAGTTTTTCTTTTCATTTTTATAAACTGTGCATAGCAGCAGTTTTTCAAATGACTTTGCATATTGCAATTGTAAATTAAGAGCTGTACTGCCTTAAGTTCTTTATTTGAGGATTATATTTTAATAATGATTTCAGTGCCTTTGGTTAAAGCAGCCTTACTGAATGAATGTTTCATAATAGTCAAATATGATTAACGTAGCCACACAATGCTGTAGTTTTGCTAGGATCTACAGAGTCCTGGCATTCTTTTGTATAGTATTCAAGCCATGGTATTCAATTCAAAATAAACTAATCTTTAACATGTCTTCTTAATGAAGTCTCTTAATTTCTTATATCTTTTGTAAATCTTGTAATGGCCTATGGCTACATAGAACAAATACAATAAAACTTGATGTAGAAGAAATAAACTAATCTGAAACCAGAATTCTAGATGAAATATGGAAAAATATCTTTGTAATCTTGGACTTACATTTCTTTTGTTAGTGAATTAGAAAATAGTTTATGTTAGTATTAAATCTAAGTGTCTGGGTACATTGCATCCATTATCCGTTTCAACTGACATTAAGGTAGTCATGTGCTTCATAAAGACTGGCTTCATTCATGTGTCATCACAAACAACCCTGCATTGTTTCCACCATGTGTGTTTTTTGTATGGATGTACCTGAAAGATGATTGGGCTCATTAGGGCTACTCTCCTCCCTTCCACTATTTTATTCCTGCTCAGTCCTTCAGGCAGTATCTCAGAAGGCACCATGGGGAGTAATGAGTTTCCTCACTTTGATATCTGCAATTAGGAGCCAAGATCATTCTGCACCTAAGTACTTAAAAATCAACAGCTTCTAACTATTTCTAAATTACTTCTTCTCCCATGAGCCATCTATTAATAAATGACATAAGGTATGGCATCCAGGGTTTGATAACTACATACAATCAGTAAGTGTATTCATGTGAAAAATAGTTTAAAACAAGAAAAATAGTTTAAAAATTATGAACATTTCTTTCAGGCATGGGCCACTAATATAGATGGTTAGAGTGTTGAACTGAGAACCTGGGATATCTGGATTCTAATCCCTACTTTGCCATGAAGCTGATTCGGTGACTCTTAGCCTTATCTACCTCACAGGGCTGTTGTGAGGATAAAATTGAGCTATGTAAGCCACTTTGAGTTCTTCACAAGAGGAAAAAAGGTGGGGTATAAATTCAGTGCTATAATAATATTAGCCAGCTTGTTGCTGACATAAATGATGGAAAAGTTAGATTAACTAATGTATGAGATTGTGGAGTACGGTGATTATAAGTTTGAGAGCAAAGTTAGACTGAACTTTGATATGCAGAATGATTTGGATAATATATAGACTTCTGTAATTCTGATGAGAGTTTTAAACATCTCTACTGAATCAGAGTATTCATTCTTATAAATCCAGTATCTATGTTGCTTTCCTATTTAATCCTTCTAATGTTCAGCAGTTCTTTCTACACCTCTTGGTCATTCTGACTGAAGCCATTCAAGAGCTTGCCTAGCTATCAAGTTATATCACATGATGTATAATGCAAAGGAAAAACATAAAAGAACGGAAAGCCACTGTAGCTGAATATGAAATTTTTGTATAACCCTGCATCCAAGCAACTCCTGACTGTCTGAATAAAGAAATAGAGCAGGTGTCAGACTTTGCCTCTAGACTGAAATTTATTTGGCCTAGTTTGTATTCCAATGTTTAAACATCATTAACAGGAGCAATCTTTAGACAATGACTATTCTTTCCCATTATCTGGTGATTTGACTCTGAAATTTAAATGTGCCTTTAAGAGTGTTCCTCTTATATCAACAATCAGTTGGGCAAAAGGATCTTTTGCTCATCATGCTTTGGTTATTGAAGCTTTATGTCTGGAGTCTGTTGAAATGAATTGTAGGTTGGGAAATGCAGCTGTAAAGGTGGCAAAGATAGGTATTAAATAAGATAAATGTAGGAGCTGTGTTTTGTGGACTACAACCAATATAAATCCAAATGGTGGAAACTTGTCATAGTTTTCTAATACATCTGGAAGTCAAAAATGCTTTTAAGTAAATTGTGTTTCAGTTAAATGATGCGCTTTGATATTACTTGTTCTGGAAAAAAATGAGTGACCAAAGATACATTTTTTCTTGTGCAGTGAGAAAACAGTCTGTAATTGTGTTTTTAGTATACTTATGACATTTAATTCCTTTTTTCAATGTGTGATCTGTCCTCTCATGTTTTAGATCTATTTTGTTTTGTAGCTCAATATTTTTATTGCACTGTTTTCAGAAGTCCACCTTTAGTATTTATTTTTAAACATGGTGCTTTCTAAGAAGCCAACGTTACTAATTTGCTTTTCAGCTATAAAGCTAATGTGCTGGCCCTGGCAAGTGTAGTTTAATCCAGCTATTTCATGGGGATGCTGGAGCAAGAGGCTACTCAGAATTCCACGTGAAGTAGATGAAAGATTTTTAAAAATAAAGCAGTACTAACAACTGAAATATGTTTGAAATTTATGTCTAAAAGTTATGTTTACATAGCTATCTTTCAATGGGCAGCTGTCTCTAAAAGACAGCTAAAACTCATTCCATTTCCTTAAGTTATTTTTCCTTTAAGGAAAAATGGTTCTTAACCATTGCAACTTCCAGAAAACTGTTTACTCTTGCTTTCCTCTTAAGCGATCCCTATAAAATACCTTCATGCTGCAGTTCAGCACGTGAGACCTAATTACATCGCCGGTCCCTAGCCTAATACCTAGGTAATTTTGTACTACAATTCCCATCGTCGCCAATTACATATGCAAGAGCTAATGGGAGTTGTAGTGTTAACATCTGGAGGACACTGATCTGTGGAAGACTGGATTACTTAAATGCTGGGAAAGAGTTACCAAACATTTGTAATAAGTTGAACAAAACGCTTACAGAACAGTTACTTTCCCAAAATAATTTTGAAGGCAACCAATGCTGAAGACTCTAAACAGCGTATGCCCGCTATACTTTTGCAATCGAGTAGCCCGGTGTGTATTCACTCACGTTGAACGGTGTGATAATTCTAATCTTTTAGGTCAAACTTTAAGCTTTTCTGAAGCTGAAGCAGGTGTGCTGAATATCTGCGCTTTTACAAAATTTAAACAGTGCGGAGGAAAGTGATCGAGAGCGCATGTGCATACACTTATCAGAATATTTAGTCGGAATCAAGTTCTGCGTTGTTCAGTAGGGTGGCCTTACTATAAGGTACGTTTCTTTAATCCGGTTCTCTCCAGAGAAATGTGCGAAAAGTTGCCCTTAAATTTAACTGAACACTTAAACACGACAATTAAATCATCGTTTGGTAACGTTTAGTCATGAACGAGCAAAATTCCTGATTTCAGTAAAAACTGTGGATAACTTCAGGCAATCCCAAGACAGCTCATTTGGGGTCCTTCTGCATATGCGGCGGAAGTAGTTTCTTTGGTTTCCGCCCAACGAGGCGCGCGCGGTGAGACTTGGGTTGGGTGCCGCAAATGTGCTAAGATGGTGAGTATCTTTTTGCTGTTTTTTTCTCGCGCGCGCAATTTGTCCTATCTTACCCCGCTCTCTGGGTTCGGAAAGGTGAGGGATGTGAGCTGGTCGTGCCTTGCAGCGGATAATTTGGGTTTGTTGTTTTAAGGATTTCTGGCGTGATCCCTGGCGGGAGGTAACGGACGAAGAGACGGAAACTGAAGTGGGGGGGGCGTTAAACGACAGCCAGCGGGAACACCACTCTCTTTCTTGCCCGGCCAAAGAACGAATGGAAAAACAAGGAACGTGTCTCGCGCGGGACCGCGCTTGTCCTTGAGAGGCAGTGAGGCTCGTCCTGCTTACGCCGGGGCGTTTTGGACCGAAATTTCCCGCGTCCCAGGCATATCGCTTACCGAAGTATGCCTCGTAGACGCCAGCACCCACTTGTGTTTCGCGCCTGAAATGGTCTCCCCCCCCCCCCCCCGTTGCTTGGAAACTCAGGAAATGCCAGCCTGGGACGTTTCTGGGCTGACTGAGCGTCCCCTAACCAATAGCTATCTGTTTCAGTTCGCCTTCTCTTAACATTGGGATTGCTTTGAATAACTTCCGTGGACTATAAATAACTTTTCCGAAATGCACAAGGATTGTGTACCTTGTAGTTGGTAAGGATACATTGGGATAGTTAACTAGTCCCACAGCCGACTTGAGCAGCTAATGAATCCTTATCTCAGCCACATATATAGTACAGCAAAAATATTTTATAGTTTGAAGGCACAAGTCAGTTCAAGCTTAGCCAGAAAAAAGGCCCATAATTCCCGGTTTGCCTCAGCCTCCATGGCTGACTGGAGGCGATCTAGAAGGCCTTTTTTCTGTCAAAACTAATATAGGACTGCTTGAAATAGCCTAGTAGTCCTCAAGTGAGACTTTTTTATTTTCATAAAAAATAAGAGAACATACAGACACACCAAGGGATAGTACAGAAATTTAGCATAGTAGATGTTGAAATTATAAGTTTACAAAATAGCAAAAATTAATCAGTTCATAAGATCCATAAACAAATTGATCTAATTTATCAAACTAATTGTAAATAACATCATAGCTTTAGCATTGGGGTAAAAGTCACTAATACTTTTCTAAGTTCTGTTTTCTTGAATATTAGTTAAATTGTTTATAATCTTTTCCATTTCTCATTAAATTCTTTGGCATGTTTTTTATTTATATAATTAGTTTTGCCATTACTGCATACTCAGCTAGCTTGTTTTTCCAATCTGTGACAGTGGGACAGTCTTCAGCTTTCCACTTGAAAGCAATTGTCACTTTTGGTACTGTTGTCATATATTAATATACTTCTAGCATGCTCTTTGGAAGTGTCCATGGTATAATACTCAATAGCATATTCTTAGCATTCATAGGAAAATTAATTTTAAGAATGTTCTTCATTCCTATGTATATCTGTTTCCAAATTCTGATTTCTATCACAGGTCAACATATGGTTAAAAAGTCTCATCAACTTCTTTACATTGCCAACATTTTTCATTGTACTCTTATACATTTTCTGTATATTTTTTGGAAGTACATCTTATACATATTTTCTCTTAGTGTTTGACTGGCTGTAAATGTTATATTCTTTGTCCATAAGGCTTGATGGGATGATATTTCTTCAAAGTTCTACATGAACTTATCGCACATGTTTTAACTAGCTGAGTTTCAGTATCATATTGGAGCAATTGTTTATAAATTCATCCTAATAGATGGCATTTTTGATGTTCACTTGTAATTTCAAAATGTTGGGTCTTTTATTCTACCTTTTCCTGCTTATTTTCTTTTTCAGTCTTGAAACTAATTGATAATAAAGAAGCCATTTTATATTTTTGTATTTTCTTTTAGTTCTTGCCAGAACTTGATTCATTCTTGTTGATTGACCACATCTCTAGATGTTATAAGATTGTTATTTTTTCTTAAATATTTTCCATTATGTGTTTCTGTTGGAGACATCAAAGGAGAATTTGGAGAACTGATTCTCCCTCTCATAGAATACCATATTTTTATTAAACCATTTATATGGATATAACTATTACTTGATGTGAAACCTGCTTTAATAGAATCTGTGGCCCATACATAATTATTCCCTCATCAAGATCTGCTATTTCCAGTTTCACTAGCCTTGCATTAAATTAAAATCTGATCTGTAATCCAAACCAAGACAGCTGAAAAGAATGAAAAACAAAAAGACCTTGGATTTAATGTGGATAACATCCTAATACGAGCCAGCAAAGTTATGCAGCCACAAAAAGGGCAAAAGCTATTTTGGGATGCATTAATAGTTGTATTACTTCCAATTCATGAGAAGTAGTAGTTTCCCCTATACTCCTCACTAGTCAGACCTCATCTGAAATGCTGTGGACTATAAACTCTTACTCTTATTGAAGAATTTATAGTCCACGTTTGGTAATGAAATAGATCTGTAAGAATGGCAGGGTAGGATCATTGCATTCCTTCTAGAACAATACATGCTGTGATGGAGGTAATGATTTCTTTAATTTTGTGCATTACTGTTTGAAGTGGTAATTCAAATTTTTCCTCTAAACACTTATAATACATTATAGAGAGGTTTTCTGGCCTAGGTGCTTTATCTTAAAAGTAAAATTTAATTGCTTGGTTTAATTTAATCTTTTGGATGGTGGCAGGACCGTTCAATGTAAGCCATCCTGAGATGCCATGGATAAGGGATGGCATATAAAAGTTTTAAATGAATGAATAAATAAAATATTCCGTTTTAGTCCAATGCACATTTTTCAATATGGGCATCTTCTATATGTTGCTCCATTCCATCATCTTAAGTTGTTGATTTTTTTAATTCTATAATTTCTTTATAATTTTCCTATATCTCTTTTTGAAATTACAGTATTCCTTGCAATAGCTTCTTTTTCGGAGAAACAATTTCTATTTTTATCTGTTCTTGAGTTTTCTCTTTTAATTGATTGATTTGATCTGAAAGTGCCTGATATTAGCTTGTAGCTATTTGAGTTTGAATGCTTGTTGAATTTTTTTCTATCAGATCAGACACACCATTTTCTAGGGTTTCACCTTGCTTCTTCTTATTTTTTGGTCTCACTGTTGCCATTCTGTATTTCTTCTTCTCTTTATAAATTCTATACACCTTTCTCATTGATTAAAAAAACTTAAGCTTATACATAACAATTTAAGTCTAAAACTGCAAAAGACAATTTTCCTAAGATTTCATAGATTTTTTTAGAGGAAATATCGATATATTTGAAAAAAGAGGAAGAAAGAGGAAGAATAAGAAAATTAGAGAAGAGAAAGGAAAAGGGGAGGAGGAGAGATGAAAATTAGTATATTCTTTTAACAATTTTTGATTGACCACATTCTATTTTATTATTACTCATTAATATGAATCAATTTGTTTAAAAATAGACTAAGACTTTTTCAGGATATCTAATCAGTTTTCTATTAGTCCTTCAACAAATGGAAAAAAATATTCTTCCAATCATGATTGCTTATTTTGATTTTTTTCAAAATTCTTAAACATTTTCCCAAGTCCAAATTTTTGCCAAATCCAGCAGATGGCGCCACTTGTTATAAAGCAAAGCCTAACTGCACCAGAGACTCCAAGTTCTTTTGTCTCTCCCATACAAAAGGAGAAAGTCCAAAGTTCTCAATTTTTCCTTAGCCTGGAGAGAAGACTGTCCAGAACGTACAAGAGCACTGTCAAAATACATCCAGAATTCCAGCTGGTCTTTAAGGAAGGTCCATTCTCTGATTTGTTCTCACAATAATTTCAACTCAAGGAGAAATGGCATCTGATCATCCATAGTTACTGTCTTTTCCCCCACAAAAGAATACCAGTTGCTTCAAATTGCCATCAGCTGTTGGTGTCCACTCCATTAGTCTTTTTAACCTAATTAAAGATTGGATGGAACACAGCTGGCCCTCTGGAGGTTCTCATAGTTCCTTGTCCAAGTAGGTTAAAAAAAATGCTTTCCAGAATCCCAATTGCAGCAAGCATATGAATAATGTTACCTTGTCTTGAGAGGGAGAAAGTAGCAAAGAACTCCGGGAAAAAGGAGGGAGGTGATTTAAAAACAAATCCTTGTTTACCTTACCTTGTCATCTTGATGGGATCAGAATTGTTCAAACTTTACAGGAAGGCTAAGCCTGAGGTGTGTCAGGTCTTCATCATCGAAGAGGTGGGGAAAGTACCTTTTCCTACCAGTATTTAGCCCTGGCAAGAGATAGTACCAGAGCACTTAGAGAGTGCTGCCTAGCATATTGCTATCTTTCCTGGAAGTCACCATGAGTGAAACTTCTGACAGCATTATTGAATTTGCAATTTCCAGTTTAAATCTGGGAAAATGTAATACATGATAAACACAAAGAAGTCATGTGCTCTCTTCAATGCACTTGTTTAAATCTTCACTGTTTACTCTAGCTAAGTAAATGCACTCTTAAGCATTAAGTACTATGAACTGTTGAGTTAAAGTTTCTTTGGTTTTGTGTTATTTACATAATACCCTTCTCATAAAAGCATTTTCTGTACAATGTAGTGCTAAACAAGTAACATATATTTGGAAATATAAGTTACATTGAGGAACAAAAATTATTTTGCCAAATCCAGAGTCATACTTAGACTATTAGGAACAGCTAAATTAGTAAATTATGAGGGTTTTCTGAAGGTTTTTGAATTGGGAGATTGTAATGTATGGATCAGGTTAATTTGCATAAGAAAACAGTTTGCAGTAGAAAATGTTTTCATTCTCTAGAGTGGGATAGACAATTTGTGGCCCTCCAGATGTTGTGGCCTTTAATTTCCATTGTTCCTTACTGCAATAGGCCAAAGTATCTGGAGGGCTATAAGTTACCCATGCTAGAGTTTTTTTAAACCTTGTGTTCGGAAACAAGACTTCGAAATAAGGTACTCCTTAATTTTTGTCTCAATGCACTTCAAGTATTTGACCTGATATATTTGGAGGGCAGAAATAAAGCATGACTAAATATGATTTAAAGTTTACATTACTTTGATATTGTATTGGATTTTGTGTAAAAAAAAATAAATTCAGTAGTACGTATTTCCCTTACATTGTATACACTTAAAAATGAAGATTCCGGAAACCGTTAAACAACAGGTTGGGATGTTGACAACCATTCATCATTTAAAGCTGAAATCAATCCCTGTCCACTGAGGGTATTGCACCTTCAGTTTCTCTATCTCTATTTAATAGTTAAATTTCACTTTAAAATGTGTGATTTCAGTGACTGGGCTTGCATGACACAGCATCCTATCATGGTGGGTTGCCATGTTGTGCAAACTTGGGCCATCTCCTGCAAGGTGACTTCTTTATGGACAACGTGGATTGCTGTAGGTTGTCGTGTCCTTGCCACTCCTGCTGAGTTCACCCAGGTCATCTATGACAGCCACTTCACCTAGTGCCCAGGTTGTACTTCTGAACATCTGCTTTGATGTGCTTACCCTTCTGTGATTACAAGCTTTTCTTGCTGTAACTTTTCCCCCTTTACCCCCCTTTTTCTTCAGAGATTGCCTTTCACACTCTGTAGAGTGACAGGCAGTGATAGCTTGTCCAAAGTGCCCAAGTGCCACATTGGTGCATCTCTCCCTGGTTTGTCACTTACTTTTAAAAAATGATGATCCAGGTGTGTGCAAATGTTTTATTTCCCTGAGGTTTTTTTTTAAATTCCACTTAAGTTTTAAAGGTTTTTTTTTAAAGTGAGCATTTTCATATGACTTAGAATGAAACAGCTTGTCTGCTCAATGTGCTGGTAGGTGGTCTGCTGTCAAAGTGCAGTAGGTACCAGCCATAGACATTAACCAACTGAGAACAAATAAGTTGATTTGTTGTTTTTCCTTCCCTTGATTGCCTTCTCTTGTCAGCCCTTCATTTGACAGATAAACCATGTATGATCTTTGCTCACAAAAAGGGGTAGCAAGTAGATTGCACCTTTCAGTGATGCATATTCTTTAGATCTTTGGTTCAGTCTGTTCACAATGTTCTCTACCTTACCCATTCTTTCCTAAAACTCTGGACGCTCCAGATGCTCAAAAGTCAAGCTTCCTTTAAAAATGGGGCATTTGATAGGGTCAGCCAGGGATTGGGATCCATACAGATTTCAGGTTATGTCCTGCCCAAATGTTTTGTTAATGCAGTTTTTTAAAAAATTCTAAAAGAAAATAGTACTTGCAGTTGGCATACATTCATTTTTACTGATGACTGTATGAATCAAATTTTCTGTTGAAAAATAAGTACTGGAATATTTTACAGCATATATCACTGTCTAAAATGCTGCACAATATTGTTAGATCTCTCAAACTCTTGAAGGTTTGTAAAATAAATGGGAGGGAGTGCATACAAGTAAGTGTGTCATCTATTCGTTCAATTGGTTTTAAGTATTCTCTGTAACACTGAATTCAGATTAAAACAGTTTTTGAAAGCGATTTAACCTAACTGATATTTTTAAGGGAACACCACAAAAAGATGTCATAATAAAAAATGATTCACCAACTACACTGTTGTTAGAAAAACATGCAGACTACATAGCTGCTTATGGAACCAAGAAAGATGATTATGTGAGTATCACGTTTTAATATAAATATCATTTTAATTGTTTGTTATGTTTCAAATAACTATTAATTCATTAAGTGAAAGAATTTATTCTAGTGACATAAATTGCACATGGTTTCCTTAGGTCAATGATGTAACCTGGCATGTATTATCTGACTCTGAAGCTGAAGATTTACCTCTTTAGCTCTAAAATTACACTGAGACCTAAGCAGCACATTGCTTGTTCTACTCATAGTTAGATTCTACTTACAAATGATTGTCCTCTGGAATTTCCTGACTTTAAACTGTGAAAGCTAAAGGCTCTTGTTAGTCTGTATCAGCACCATGTAAGACCTCTTCTTGCATCTTGTGCAGAAAAGCCATGCCATACAACTTTCCTGGGAAGTGATACAATCCCTGGACAATGCTGACTTCATTGTAGGATCTAGCATCTACAGTTCCATGTATGGAATTCTGAGCATGGAGCAGGGATAGGCAAGTTGTGGTCCTCTTAAGTGTTTTGTCCTACAATTCACAATGCATAGACATTGGCTATACAGGCTAGAGTTGGAATTCTTACTCTAGTATGTTGGCCCACATTGTAATCCAAAATAATCTGGAGGACCTATACCTTGATCATGTGTCACATTTCACAATTTGCATTCCCTTGCCATGTGCCTTTAATTAAAATATGCAAGGATAACACAAAGGGCCAAAAAAGCTTCACTTGCACATGGACCCTAAAGACTGTGGGCTTCAGTAGGTTACTGCATGGATGCATTTGTTTGCAGAAGATGGAATTCTTGATTGTTTTTTGAATGTGATAACTGATATAGCCTCATGTCTATCAGGTTTTTGTAACAACTTTGGAAATGCTTGTTGACTACATGTGTTACTTCACTAAAAGTAGCCATAAGGGTGTTTAGCTTTTAAAATATACATTAATACTATAGTTTGATGGAATTTTATGTACTTGGAGAGTCTTGTCTACTTCAGCCTCTTTTAGAAAGTGATTATGGCTACTGCCTCTTACGTTGTAAAGTTTTCCTGCCCCAATGCCAGTTATACCTTTATTTCATTTTTATGGGCTATTTTTATATTTTTCTCTTGATCAGCCTATTAGAGATAGAAAAGTATAATCCAGTTTATTAATTTTAATGAATATGGATCTATTGCAGTGATTTAAGCAGGATAAAGCAAGAAGTATGTTAGATTGGTTATATTCCAACTGACCAGTGTTGCATATGTAAAACTGGTCCATTTGAGTTGTAGATGAAAGGGAAAGATGTGAAACAGCAAGAAGACTGGAGTAGTTAATTCAGTGAGGTATTCAGTTGTTGTGTAGGATTCAATTTTTTGTACTAACAGAGATTGAGAAATTTTGCTTTCAAAAAAGTTCAGTTTTTTTAAAGAACATGATTACTTTCTTTAGCAGTCTTATGCACATTTTTCCTGACTTGAGAATTACAGTGCTTCTCATGAGCCAAGGTCTTCTGGTGTGAATAGAACAGTAAGGGGAAATCTGTGAGTCTATTTTTTTTAGAAAGCCCTTGGTTTCTTAACAATGAAATAAAATAACTTGGTGTAGTTGGAATTTATTCCTTAAACAACTAAAGTTTAATCAATCTTTTGCTTTCTTTTGTCACTTAAAGAACTTTTATTTTCCAGGAATACTGCATGTCAGAATATTTAAGAATGAGTGGTGTCTATTGGGGACTGACTGTGATGGATCTTATGGGACAGCTGCATCGGATGAGCAAAGAAGAAATTTTGGCATTTATCAAATCATGTCAACATGAATGTGGTGGAATAAGTGCCAGCATAGGACATGATCCCCACCTCTTATATACACTTAGTGCTGTCCAGGTAAACATGAGTGATGGGTACCTGTTTAATTTGCCATAACTGATCTTTGTGAGGCTGTATTTTTAGATTACATTATAAGACTATTAACTACAAACATGCATCCTGTCTTGCAGTTAATATTTAGCATATTCTCCACTTTGTACCTCTTCACAAAAAGACAAGTCAAAAAATGCAGACAAACATTAAATGTTCTGGCCATTATGTTGGTGAACTGCTACTAACTTGAAGTAAATAGTTGATCAATCACTTTCTTGCCTCAGTATGACTTTTAAAATGGCCATTAAGTTGGCCTATTTATTTCTTTGTTCAGATTGGAGTTTTCATTTAATGACGCTTTATCTGCAGATGAATTGAAAGCAATATTATCTTAGCTTTTTTTTCCTGCAAATCCTACTTATTTTTTTTCCACCAAGCTTTTGTGCTACAAAGACAGAGAACAATATGAGTTTGGACAGTGTTGCATATCTTTTGTGCAATAAAATTAAGAACACTGGTGCTTGTGGCATAATGCCAGTAGTTCCTTGGGTCAGTGATGAGTAACTGTTTTATCTGAATCTAAAGCTGATGTGGTTTTAACACTTAGCTCTAGAATTACTCTGAGACCTGAGGATGTTCTGAATGTCCTATATTTACACAGTTTTCAAAATCTTGGAATATTCTGTTTCTGAATCTTTACGTCTTAATATTTTATTTTTATGGTATGTTGCATGTACTATACATAATTAGTGGTAAATGTAATATTTTGCTTACCCTGCATGTTAACATGCAACATGAATGCAAATATTAACTAACGTTTAGGGCAGCTTTCTCCAACCTGGCTCTATTACTACCAGCTAGCATGACGTACTACTACTTTGCTGATAGTGTATGATCAGAGTTAGAATCCAATCTAAAATGCACCAGTTTGGGGGAAAGAACTGTTTTAGACTGGTATAGAGAATGGAAAGAGAGGCTGAAATTTAAATACTTTAGAGAAGGATAGGGGAGAAACAAGAACTTTTCTGCTTTTTTTCCCCAGTGTTAATATATGATCATTGTCAGCCCTCATTAAGAGCAGTCCTAAACCTGTGATTGTTTCTTCTTTATTTAAACAATGTAATTTTTATTGCTCTTCTGAAAATTCCAAGAACTTAGATGCATGTTTTGTATTGTGCGGGAATGTTTGACATATAATTGGAACTATAATTGGAGAGCCAGTGTGGTGTAGTGGTTAAGAGCATGGGACTGGGACTCAGACGATGTGGGTTCAAGTCCCCGCTCAGCCATGGAACCAACTGGGTGACTTTGGGCCAGTCACAGACTCTCAGCCCAACCTACCTCACAGGGTTGTTGTTGTGGGGATAAGATGGAGGAGGAGAATGATGTAAGCTGCCTTGAGCCCTTTGTAGGAAAAAGGCAGGATATAAATCGAAAAAATAAATAATAAACAAACTATATGCCTCTGTTGTCAGCTATAGGCATGCATTTCGAATTGTCCCAAAATTGTCCCAGGTTCCCAAAATTTTTTTAAACTATTATTTTAAAAATCAGTTTTGTGCAATGAACTACTTAAAACAGCTGGGAAAATTCTGGTATGAAAGATGTTACAACTTCACAAGTTTGGAATGTTTGTCTTAAATTGTGAAGTTATATACAGTGGTACCTTGGCTCACGAACTTAATCCATTCCAGGACTCTGGTCATGACCCAAATTGGTCGTGAGCCAAGTTAAATTTCCCCATAAGGTTCAATGTAAATAAGGTTAATCCATTCTGTAACTTTTTTTTTAATCAGAAAAATGTAAAGCAAAGTGACAACAAAGATTGCAGCCATCCCCCCCTCCAAGCACGAGCGCAGCCATCTCCCCCCGCCCAGCATGGCCACGGGCTCGGGGGGGGGGGAGACGGGCGCGATCATGCTTTGGAGGGGAGATGGCCAAGATCGCGGTTGCGCTCCTACAGGAAAGATGGGTGCAATCACGGCCGTATCCTATACAGACCAAGTATAGGCTCGCTCGTGCAGGAAAGACAGGCGTGATCTCGGCCATCTCCCACACCCCCAGTACGATTGTGGCCATCACCCCCTCGGGGGGGGGGATGGCCGCGATCGTGGTCGCCACCCAAAGAGGAATTCACCACCTGAGTCATATTTTTTATGACATTTTTGTTCGCAACCCGATTTGGTCATGAACTGAGGCGTTCATGAGCCATGGTACCACTGGCATATACTTGATTTTTAAAGTTTAAAAAAACCTCACTGGATTGGATCCATATATAGTCATACATTGAGTTAACCAACTGAAATGGAATCAAGTGCATCCCATTTTTTTCAGTGGATGCATTTTAAATATTTGCTGGTAATAAAAAAAGGAACAACACTTAAATGGGATATACTATGTCCAAATAAGTACTAGTGGAGATGGGAGAAGTATGTATAGCATCTGGAAACAAACAATTGTGTAATAACATTGGTTTTCCTGGTAGTGCAGCAAAACTAAGTGGCAATTTCACATTGTTTTGGAATTCTCTAGATAAACCATTTCAACAATTAAAACATTTGTTTTGCAGATTTTAACTCTGTACGACAGTCTCCAGGTTGTTGATGTAAATAAAATTGTTGTTTATGTGAAGAACCTACAACAGGAAGATGGGTCATTTGCTGGAGACAGATGGGGTAACATTTTAAACATATATGAATGTATTCCATTTTCTATTGCAAGACTAAAAAATATAGTTTCTTCAGTTTTGCACATGAAAATTCAGAACTGAAGAGGGGTTGTGATAACATTTTCACATATATCTGTCTGAATTGCTAGATCTCTGACTTTATGCATATATTCTGACTTTAAAGTTGATGTTTTGCCGCTTTAGCTCTAGAATTACTCTGAGATCTGAGAACTCATAAAATTTACCTTCATAGGACTGTTTGGCTATGAACAGAGATGCTACTTTCCCAGATTGTAATTCAGCTGTAACACCCAAATGTTGTTTAATCTATGTATACATAATTAACACAGATACATGTTTGTACACTGGGCTGTGTAAAACAAAGTGGATACATAAGATTAGTCAAAGTCAACATGGTTGGTTAAATTGTGTTATGTCAAAATACTCAGCACTTAACAAAATTACTTTTTCAGATTATTGTATACAAGCACATCAGATACACTTTGTTCATGATACTCTGCTTGTTTTATTCTGGAAATAGGTGTATTATATCTGAGAACAAAAGTGTTGATTAGAGTCTTAAGGAAAAAAGCTAGTATACTGCGCGTTCATTGAAATACTTTAAGCTGAAAACAATGTATGTCAAGTTAACGTGATCATTCCGGGGCTGTTTCTGTAAGCAAACTACAGTAAGTAAACCACCTTTAGTGAGAGCCATGGGCCAATGAATGGGATATTTTAAAAACATACATACTATATGTAATTTTTAAAAAAATGAGGAAATAGATGTGAGAGCATAGTCTGTAAACTTCCATTTTTATTTTTACATGTTTTTATTACCTAAATTTATGCACACTGCTTTTATTTCTTCCCGCAGGAGAAATTGATACAAGATTTTCTTTTTGTGCAGTAGCAACACTGTCCCTTCTGGTAAGTTCTTTGAGTGGCAAGGAATGTTTAGATAAGCAGTATGTTATCTACTTGGAGTTAGAAACTTCTGCAAACTACTACTAGCAAGTTAAAGTACTTCCAGAATTGAAAGTAGGTGCTTCATTACCCAAGCCATTATGCCTGTACTATACAGACAAAGACAAAAAGCACTGGAAGGTAGAGCAGCCATGGACATTTATATGGAAATATTTGAAAAACTACAAGAGTTAATGACTCTGTAACATAATTTAAAATTTTCCCACTCCAAAAATGTAGCATGCAAGAGAATCAGGTGCTGAGGGTGTTGTGCACTGTTCTCTCTTTCTCTTTGCCTATCTAAACTGTATTTGGATAATACTATGTTTCGACATCTATGTTCTGGGGCCTTCCCTATCAGGCACAGGAGACCCTTGCTTCCTGGTAAACTTGCTAAGTTGTGAAGCACTGAACCATGGAACTATTTTGAATGATCATCAAGATACATGCCCTCTTTCCCATCATGTTGCCACCTCATTGGGTGAGGAATCCTAAGGGGGTGAGTTGGTGAAGAAACATTTATCATGCCCTGTGGAGAAGAATTGATAATCTTTTATTTCATAAACCAGATTTGAGGATTGGGTTAAACACTTGTGGGTCAAATTAAGTTGCTGTTTCAATAAGAAAAGCTGGTTTTCCTGATTTTAGGGGAAACTGGATGCAATTGATATGGACAAGGCAGTAGAATTTGTGTTATCCTGTATGAATTTTGATGGAGGATTTGGTTGTAGACCAGGATCTGAATCTCATGCAGGACAGGTAAGTAGTAATGCTTGTCAAATAAATTTTGCAATGGATTTTTAGTTCATGTTGACATTAATATGCTAGGCTATTTTATAATGGCTTAGGTTTTTACTGAAGTGTCGCCACAAATGAGAGATGTCTTTTACCTTTTAAACCAGGGTTGGATAACTAGTTTTTGGGTGATGTCCAAATGATTCCCCCCTCCTTTGCTTACATAATCTTGGGAAAAGTCTGCATGGCAGTGAAGTTACCCTAAAAGTGTCAGCTGAAGGAATGCTTCTCCAAGCCTGTACTTTTATTTGAGCAGCTTTACTTTCATCTTTTAAGGCAGTTAGACACTACCCCTTCTATGGTTGTACAAAAGAGAAGGGTGGTAAAACAATTCCTTTTCTACTAGCCTTCAGAGTTTGGGGCTTCAGGGAAGGAAAGGAACCTCTCTTGAGTCTTCACTTGCTGGGGTCAATGCCTGCTTGAAATTTCCCTAGATTCTATGTTAATATAATTATCAAAGTGATGGCTTTCCTAAATAAGCAAATGAGAGCATACTAAGTGTGCTTTCAAAGTGAGGCTGAAATAGCAAGTGTAGAATTTCTACAGATGTCTTGTTTCCCATGCTACTAAATATTTTTATTAGCAATTTGTATCAAAAGACTTGGAACTGCAGGCAGAAACAAAAACAAAAAAACCTGAATTCAGAACAGTTAAATGTTAAAATCTGTTAAAGTTCAGTTATAAATTTTTCTTGTTGCTAACATTGCAGACAAGATTAAATGTAACAAAGATTTAAAAAATAAAGTGAAGCAAGGTCTGGCATTTTGTTTCTATCTGTTTTAGACTTGGATAAAATAGGATTGTCTGGTGGGTAGGTAGGACATCTGCAAATTTAAGGGTGAAACCCATAATGTGTCAAACATGAAGTCTTTGGGGAACCTGTCTTTCCATGAGCAAAGCACAATACCACCCATTGGTGCTGCAGTAGTAGATTTTGTGTCCTTATTCTAAATTTCATGCACTGATGTGGATAATAACTTATCTTGCTAGACATTTCATATTTCTAGATTTTATATGAGAATTTTTGTTGACTAAGCCACTTTCATGCTTTTAAAACAGTTTGATTTTTAAAAATCTTACTGAGAGTGCATGGGGGCACAAGTTTACTTACTTAAACACACATTGCCTAAGTGGTTGGGATTCTTCATTGAGATCTTTCTTTTACCCGAGTAGCTATATTTTTAAATGGACATGAACTTTATATCTGTAATTTTAGATCTATTGTTGCACAGGATTTCTTGCCATAACTGGCCACTTGCACCAAATAAATGCTGACCTGCTAGGCTGGTGGCTCTGTGAACGTCAGTTGCCATCTGGTGGCCTTAATGGAAGGCCAGAGAAGGTAAGAAGTTACCTTTCCTATTTGTTTTACTGATTTATTATATTTCTGTTCTGCTCAATTGCTGAAGCTCTGTAGGTAGTTCACAGTAATTAAAACCGGGAAATACAACACAATAAGGTTTAATAAAAGTTTAAAACTGAAGTATAAAATAGATGAAATAAAATGTAGCAATGATGGAAAGGTTTTCAATGCAGCAACAACTATAAAGCAAATTAATACACCTGGCCTCAGAGTGCACCGTATAGGCACCAGGCAAGTCTCTCTGGCTAGCTCATTCCACAAACAAGGTGTCAAAGCAGAAAAGCAGAAATAGTGAGGTAGCTATCTTCCTCACTATTTTTCAGGGATTCCTGAAGAACTATGAAAAATAAGAAGAATCCATGCAAGTTATACATGGGAAGGCATGAGCTTTCAGATAACTTGGCCCACAGCCAAGTTAATCAAGTGCTTTGAATATAGACTGACAGGCAGATGGTAAAGTACTGGCCTAATATGTTGGTCAATTCCCTTTGCATTCGTGCTACCCTCCTTTGTAGCAGCTGAAGTTTCTGGACTGTTTTCAAAGGCAGCTGCACTTAACACACTGCAGTAATCCAGATGGTACCCAACCATGGTTAACTGTAAGCTGTATATGTCTGCATGAAGACATAGTTTACCAACCTAAGCTGATAAAAGGTGCTCTTTGCTATCAAGTCTACATGTGCCTCTTGTGACCAAGTTGGATCCAAGAGTGCCCCCAAACTATGAACCTGATATTTTAAGAAGCGTGCAGCTCTTTCAGAACAAGTTAAATGGCACATAGCAGGGCAGATAAACCAACTGCTATCATTACCTCCATGGATTTGATGACTAGACAAAACAGCTGGGTAGCATTTGTATGTTTAACATTTCACTGTGTGCACCTTTGGGTAGTTGGCTCTTTTAGCAATTTCATATAGAAGTTGAAAAGCATCAGGGTGGGAAGAGACCTCCTAGCCCAAAGTGCAGGACCATAATCCTCCAGTGCCATCTTCTGGAATTGACCATCCATGTAGGGGTTAGAACTACTGTAAAATAGTGGCTTTACCTCCCTAATCCAAACAACCTATGCAAAGAATACTACAATCAGTGTCATTGAAAGCTACTGAGAGGCCCAACTCTCAATGCACTCCCTTTGTTCTTCTGTCACCCCAAATGGAGGTCAAGATTCTGTTCCAAACCAGGACTGAACCTCAATTGAAATGAGTTTAGATAATCACTAATACCTACTCAGCAATAACCTATTTTGTTCTACAAGGGGGTGTTGACTACTGCCCTGGAGTTAATAATATTATCCAGGTTCAGGTGAAGCTTTTTCAGGAGTTGCATAGTAGCTATCACCTAAAAAGTGGCCATTATTACTAAGAAAGGGGGGAAATTGGTTCTTATTCCCTTTTTACCTCAAGTTAGCAGGTAACAGTTGTACAAGGAATAATAAATCAAGGATTACATTGCTACAAATAAATGTACTCTGATTGGATTTAATAAACAAGCTGTTTCATATGTACTTATTTTAACTTAATATGAAAAGTGAGCTTTTCAGACTTAGACCCAAGTTTGTCTATGTATTATGAATAAGGAAAACAGCTTTGAAGCTTATTCCTTTTGCTAAGAAATAATTGGGAAATTATTCCTTGTGCTGAGTTACTAAATGCCAGTTTGTGGGAGAAAACCATCCACAAATCACCTTTTCCTGCACCAGTGTTCCAGAACAAACAAAAACACTTCTAGTTTACTGCTAAGTAACTGAAAAATAGAATGGTAGAGTATTTCACAGTTTGAGGTGGTATAATGAGACTTGTTTTTTGTTCTGCTGTTTGATTGGTTTATGAGACCTGTTTTTATGTTTAACCCCACTTAAGTGTGGACATTGTTACCTATTTTCATGTCACAAATTGTTTGCTGTGATGGTGTAAAATAGGAGTGAGGGGAAAAACCAGCAAGCCTGCTGAAAACGTTGCTAGGTAAGGGAACTTAGCTCAATATATTTGCATATATGTTTGGTGAAATAAGAAAATCTCAAAGAATGTACATAGAAGTTTAGCTGAGTGAATGCAATAATAGTCTTTGTCCAAGATAAGAAAATCTTGGACTGTTTTCACTTTGACCTAACTTTGCTTTTGCTGTTACCTTTTTTGTCAGTTACCAGATGTGTGCTATTCATGGTGGGTGTTGGCATCTCTGAAAATAATTGGCAGGTTGCATTGGATTGATAGGGAAAAGCTACGCAGCTTTATCTTAGCGTGCCAAGATGAAGAGACTGGTGGATTTGCTGACAGGCCAGGAGATATGGCAAGTTATTCACTTTTTCAGTATTCACTAAATGTATGCGTGCATTTAACACTCAAATGCAGAATTTGTTGATCTTTTAAACTAATGAATATTCTGTGAAAAAACATAACATTGTCATCTGAAATCCTTTCACTTTAGAGATAAGGCAGCTGACATACTCCATCTCTAAAGCTGATTACATTTAGATCCAGCAGGTCCCTGAATGGGTGATTGCTTGGGAGGCCCTTGTGTTCCTAGATACAAGTGCACAGCTAATAAGACACAGCTAATAAACTCCAGGCACCCAAAGGACTGCATATCATGTAAATCGATGTTCCTTTAAGCTCCTCAATTCCACCGCGTCTTGAAGTTCTCACTGTACCCCAACTGAAGATCAGAAGACACTCTGAAGGAACATTGCCAGAAGAAGTGACAATGTGTGATTTCCATCTTTATAAGCAAGCATATTGCTTCTTATTCTGAACTGCAAAAGCATATTTTATGTCTCTTTCATCTAGCCTTCTAGAAAGTTTCTTTAACCATTCATCCACTAGATGAAGTCATGAAGCTATTAGGATGCTTTTCTAGCTGATTGGGTGATATCTGTTGCCCTGACTAATTAGTTTGCATTTTCTGTAATTTGAAGAGTTAAGTCTTAATTTCTGAACCCTGAGGTTGTTAGTAAAATATTTCTTATGCAGCTCTTTCTCTAATTTAATCAAACTTATTTGATAGACATCCTGTTACCCTGTAAATGTATTGCCTGACTACTGGGAACTCACTGCTGATTTGTAAAGTATATCTTGGTGTGTTCTAGGTGGATCCATTTCATACCTTGTTTGGAATTGCTGGACTATCATTACTGGGAGAAGAACAAATTAAGTCTGTGAATCCTGTATTTTGTATGCCTGAAGAGGTCCTTCAAAGAATAAATGTACAGCCAGAACTTGTGAGCTAGGTTTTCTTGTGTAGCAATGTTTCCATATTCAGCTGCTTGAATTTTTCTGTCAAGAGACGTTTCTAAATGTGTTTACATGATGAATTACCACTTTATTGTAGGCATTCTCATGTTTGTGTACTGTATCCAAAGTAAATAAACTGAGTGTTACATGTGCTTGAGGTTTTCCATAACAGATGTACATAAATATTTACATTTTCTTGAAATATGTTTGACTCTGGACTTTATTCCACTCATATTACTTCAAAATAACATTAGGCACAGTAGATGACTACTTGAATTGTGTGACTTTATATTTGACACAATCATTTACCCATCCTGGTGACAGTCAGCATGTACTGAATTGTCCTGAGCACTCTTTCTATGGAGAAAAAATTATTTGCTTTTATGCCAGTGACACTTTATGAATTTGAGTTCCTGTTTAGGATCTACTATAGTTTTTTATCCAATTAGAATTACATTTTCTTGTACTACATTATACTAGAAATTCTGTGGTACTCAGAACTGCTCTATATTAGTGAAATGCTTTAATGATTGATAATGCAATTATAATGTATTTGGTTTAAATTAATGGGCTTGCTGAATTTTAGAATTTGTTTCTTTGGCCTACAGTATTTATTGTAACTGTGGTTTGAATCCCAGTTTCAGTAGCACTTAAACCAGTAATATATAGTCAAGAACACAACTATAGAAGATTGTTTTTTGCAAGAAGAAATATTTGCTTCCTCTGGAATTCTAGAAGTGCCTCCATTTCACATTTCTCAGAATTGTGCATTTGTAACTTGGCTGAAATCTAAGTATGAAATGGAATTCTGCTTGATGTAAATTAAAGTTATGAAGTAACAGTTGCCTCTGGTCTATCAGAAGAAATCTGCAGTGTGCTTGTCCTTTTTTTCTGCTGATCCTTCAAAAACTTACAATATTTGTTAGATTACAAGAAAATGATCTTGTGTGATAAAGTAAAGTTGCATCTTTTAAACTGTTTATGAATGGTGCATGCCAGAAGACTAAGGAAGTAGAACAGGAATGGTCATGCCAGAATTCCCTTGTCAAGTATAAGCAGGCCATAATGGCTAGAAAAAACAACAGAAGCAAGAATGTTGAATTACACATTTGTGGTCTTACACACAGTCCTATGTACATAATTATACATGCTATGAAAGAGTAGCAAAAGTAGGCAAACCAGTGTGTTGGACTACAGTTCTCATGAACTCTGGGCAGTAGGGGTAATGGTCAGAGCTAAAAGGTAAGATAACTGGACTATCAGTTAAAATGTTGAGAACTAGGACTGGCTGTATGGGGTGGGGATGGTATCAGGACTGGCCAGAGATCAAGCAAGTAAAAGCTACTGTTCATGCTTTCTTTATATGGACCAGAGAACCTAAGCAAAGGAGGGATGTGGATGTCTGCAAGATTTCAGGAGGGCAGGCAAAGCTGTACAGTGGCATGTGATTTTAATTTGTAGCTCTTCCTGTCACAATATGTGTGCATTTTCTCTGTGCTTGCTATTTGAAGTCATACGTCTTAAAAGCTTACAGAGTGGCAGAAAAGCATGGAAATTAGCACTAATGCAGAAAAGACTTTATGAACATAATTTTAGTTCCATTTAAGATTTTTTGTTTTAAGGTGAAAAATAAATTGCCATAACTGACCTAGGCATGGACAACTTCAAATGACTTACAGTAACAGTGTCCCCATGTTCTAGAATTATTTCATGTTGGGAAGATAGGTGAACACTCTGGATAGACAATGAAGTAGTGAAGCTGGTAGGAAGTACCTTTGGCAAGGGAAGAAATGGGTTTGCTTGAACACAGGATTCTGGAGGATGCTGGCCTATTTTTTTTATAATGTCAGCCAACATAATATCATTTCTTGACTTGAATTATGAACGGCACGGCTGTTCTGTTGGAACAGCATCTGTACATTTTGCCCAGTTGCACCTCCTGCAGAAGTCCTGATAGCAACAACAGCACCTGGGCACCAGTTCAGTACAAGATAATCAAATTTGCAGACAATACAAAACTGGGTGGAATAGCAAACACCCTAGAAGACAGAATGAAGATCCAGGGTGAAACAACAGAATGAGATTCAGTAGGGCCAATGCCAAGTGCTCCACCTAGAAGAAGAAAAAAATAAATGCATTGATGCAAGATGGGGAATATATGCCACAACAGAACTGAAAAAGATCTGAGTAGTAAAGTACTATTTTGGAATGCATTAATAGAAGTATTACTTCCAAATCATGAGAAGTAGTAGTTTCCCTATACTCCTCACTAGTCAGACCTCATCTGGAATATTGTGTCCAGTTCTGGGCACCAAGATTTAAGAAAAATGCAGAAAAATTAGGGTCCAGAGTGGGCCAACAAAAATGATCCAGCGTTTGGAAACTGCGCTATGAGGAGAGACTGAGAGAACTGGACATGTTCAGACTTAAGACTGAGTGGGGACATGGTATCACTCTATAAGTACCTCAAAGGCTGTCACAAAGAGGAAGGTCAAGATCTCACTTTGCTGATGCTAGAATGTAGGACACAACTCAGGTTCAGGCTAGATATCGGGGACAGTTTCCTCATTGTCAGAGCCATATGACAGTGGAACCAGTTGCCTAGAGAGGTGGTGGGCTCTCCTACACTAGAGACATTGAAGGTGAAACTGGACAGTCACCTGAGTTGGATGGTGTCCTGCATCAGCGGGATTGCACCCAATGACCTTCATGGCCCCTTCCAACTCTACTATGATTTTATGCATTCTATTAACATTCATTGGTTAAAAGCAAGTAAAGGCTATTCCCCCCGCCCCCTCCGCCGCCAACAAATCTGAAAAATAGCAGCTGCATTATTTTCAATCAGCTCTCAGGTTCTACAACAAGATAGTAGACTACAGGTTGGACTGCAACTGCTATCAGACCCATGCAACATAGGGAGAAGCATCCAGCCTCGAGCTCCGCAAGTCACTAACTGTTCTTTCGACAGCCATAATTCACGTGAACTGCACGTCACGACTAGAAGCTGTCCCGCGCTGGCTGCCCTTTAGTCCGCTGGAGAGAATGGTTGTACAGGCTATAGAAAAAGACGCCTTTTAGTAACGACTCCCATCATCTCCATCCGATGTGGCTAATGATGAGAATTGTACTGTGGCACATCAGCCAGATGGGAGGAAGGCTGTTCTAGAAATTTGCAGCACAGCTGGGTCAAATCACGGTGCCCGTCGGTATGCCGAATTCTCCACGAGTGAAAGCGCCATTTCATGACGCCTTGCTGATACGGGGCAGGGGGAACTGTACCATTTAAGACAGCGAGGTGGGGGAGTCACTTTTTTAATACTCTCCATGTGGAGCGCGAATAGCTTCCCTGCAGGTTAAAAAAAAACAACTGGACTCAGTGATAACTGTTATCTTTGACGTGTGTTTTTTAAAATTTGGAACGGATGAATATGCAAGAATGCAATTCTCACGACCTGTTGAAAGGTTGACCTTTTGAGTTTTTCGGGTGCTTCCTAGAGAAGTCTGTGAACAGGCGAAACCTGAAAAGTGGCTTTGCTGACCTGAGCGTAGCAAGCTTCGAACAATCCTATTAATGGAGGAAATGTCGGGTGCTTCCAGCTCTTGCTCGGGTCGAAGCTCCTCCTTTTCTTGCGCGGAGCCTCGGCCTTGCTACCAGTTTGGCCTACAGCAGACGCCGGGAAATGGAGGTCCCCTGTCTTCTATGAGCGAAGCGCCGCCTGCCCCTCTGAAAGGCCAAGACGCCAGCAGCGGCCCCACCATGGCTTTCCTCCCGAGAGGAGTGGGAGGTGGGTGCTACCTGACCAGACTCTCACTCCCCTCGCCAGTGCAAGCGCTTTCTCTCCTTTGGTTAGATAAACGCTTAACCGGCACTTGTTTTGAACGTTTAAAAGCTCTCTCTTCGGTACTGCTAAGTTAGTTGTTAGCATTAACTGTGAAATCCTATGTATGTCTATTCAGACGGAAGCCCTGGCTTATTTATTTATTTAAAATATTTCTATCCTGCCCCCATCCCAACAAAGCCTCGGGGCGGCTCACAACATTCATAAAAAGATACAATTAATAATTTTAAAACTGGTACCATCTTGGCTATATATATTAAAATCTATAAATACAATAATAACAAATTAACAGTTAAAATAAGTTTTAAATAAAAAGGTCTTCGCCTGGCGCCAAAAAGCAAATAATGATGGCACCAGGTGGACCTCTTTGGGGAGCGCATTCCATAGGTGGGGCGCCACCGCAGAGAAGGCCCTCCTCTGGGTACTCGCCCTCCTAATATCATTCACGGAGGGTTCCCAGAGAAGGGCATCCACTGCCCATCGTAGGGGGCGGAAGGACATATATGGACACAGACATTCCTTTAGATAACCACGTCCCAAGCCGTTAAGGGCTTTATAGGTCATAACCAACACCTTGAATTGGGCCCGGATTTCAATAGGGAGCCAGTGAAGCTGACGGAGAACTGGGGTTATATGAGAACAACGCCCAGTCCCCATCAGCAACCTGGCAGCTCTATTTCGCACCAATTGAAGTATCCGGACCGTCTTCAAGGGTAGCCCCACGTAGAGCGCGTTACAGAAGTCTAGTTGGGAAGTTACCAACGCGTGGGTCACTGTTGCCAGGCAATCGTTCTCCAGATAGGGACGCAGCTGATGAATCAGCTGAAGCTGAAGGAAGGCGCTCCTCGCCACCGCCATCACCTGAGCTTCTAATGACAGCTCAGGGTCGAGGAGCACTCCCAAGCTGCGAACCCTATCCCTCAGAGGGAGTGCAACCCCGTTTAGGATTTAATCACAGGTAAGTGGGTATAGGATTAATGGGAAGTTCTCACCCTAAACCTATGAAAGCTTGTCTCATGTATACTGAAACTAACATTTTTCTGAGTTGTTTTGATCTTTCTGCATCAGCAAAAGGTACGATTTATATTAGAGAGAAATCTTATTAATAATATGGATCTTGTCTGTCTTCTATCCTGTATTAATAACAATCAAATTGGTATAAATTTCTGATTCCCTGCTTGAAATGTTTAGAATATTGATGAGGTCTCAACCCAAAAAGCGCCCCTCAAATCATACAGAAATTCAACATTTTTGTGTGTAACACTAGTGTGACAGAAATTGTTCATCTGAAACAGCATCCTTAGTTATGCTAATGTTGAGAAGACAGTTGTTGACACCTAACTTTCTGCTTAACTGTTCACTCTTCTGGTAAGTGTGGAATGTGCCCTACTTTCTCTAGCTAACAGTGCACAGAAGACAGGATCAGTGTATGGATGGAAATAGGCCAAAATGAGTTTGCTCTTTGTTGACCATCTAGTTCTGCGGTCAGTGCTCTTGAAGGTTGAAAGACATTTGGATAGTTAAATGCTGATGCTGGTCTCTTATGAAGGAGGACAGGGCTGTTCTTTATTGTTCAGTGCACACTTCAATAAAGAGTTGGGGTTTAGGTGGGAGGATATTGCTGGTGTTTTGTTGTCTCCAGCAATTAGACAAATGAACTTTTAGGCCACTTAGGGTTAAAGCCCCTGACAAATGAACTCATTCTGCAAAAGGCATTCAAATATAATAATGCCATTCAGATTTTCTTTTGAGGAGCTCGGAGAACCCCAGAGCTTCATAGAACATATAAAATCAGAATGTGATAATTTTGGAGGGTGTATTGAACTATTTACAAGACTAGTTCAATATGCTTACGATCCTGAAAAAGTCAACAATACACCAGTATTTTCCCTTCATTTGTGCTAAAGCTGAAATCCTATACCCACCTACCTTGGCATAAGCCCCAATGAACTCAGTGGACCTTACTACTGAATAGACATCTATAAGATTATGCTAAGATGACCTA